AGGCAGTTGGGTGCTTACACTTAAGAACTTACTGAAGTCAGTATTCATAGGTATTTATAATTTAGCCAGTACTGAAGTATGTTACTGGATCATGATTCAGCTGAACTCAAACAATGATAATGGGTGGTGTGTAGTACTGATAGCTGATGTTTTATCTATTACTTTGCCAACACATTGTTCTTTATTAGTGGGATTTACACCTGCTAACAAGCTTTAAGTTATTCCCTTGAGCACTGGTCTCAGGATCCTTACAATTTCCAAGTATTAAAATTATTTTTTGTCAATTAAGACTGGGCACATTTGTCATCAGCTTATCCCGGTTTTGTTTTTTTCTTTCCATACATAATGGCACATTTTCCTTATTAATTATCAACATACTGTGTTTCTTATTCTTCCTTTCCTTAATGGCATACTTTATATTGTAGAGCATTCTATTGGTTATAGAGTTTTTGCAGTGCTGTTTACACATGTATCAACAGTCAACTTGAGTTTCACTCCTTCATTCATTATAAACTGCATAAAACCCATGGGCCTGTTTTTGATTTAAGAACAAGGATGGATGAAGCCATTCAGATAAAGTAAAGAAAAAACCTCCAAAACTCCCAAAAGAAGCCCAACAATAACAAACAATTGAATCTCTTCCCCAGGTGCAAAATTATTTTCTCAGTAGTTGTGCAGAAATTCAGCTATCATTTGTTTGGCATTTCCAAATGCCCACATTCCTTTGAGCATCTTGCTTTCCTTTGTGAGGTCCTATTGGAAATAACAAAGTACTACCAAGGAGGCAGCGGCTTGCCATTCTTCCAACCAGGCCACCATTAGAGAGGAATCTCATGAGAAATGGACTCAAGCTGAGACTCTACCTTAACATCCTTAGAGTTCAGATGTTCTCAGATCTTGGGTTTTTGACAAAATTCCCTGGAGAAATAAATATTTATTTATTTGACCTGTCTGGCTAGTCAGTTGAGATGTCCAACTGAGCAGCTATTCTTTCCAATACTTATCCAGACCCTAATTCCACAGTTTAAGTTGTCCCATCATGAATGATCAGAAAGAAACCACTTTGTCCAGTATGTGGGAGTATGGCACAAGCATCTGTGCTTTGCATATGTAAACCAGTTAGTAAGACGGACAGGAGGAAGGGGCATACAATTTACCAGGAGTAAAAAGGACAGAAGAGAAAGCAAGCGGGTCCTGAATGCTGACTGCTGATTTTCAGAAGTCAGAACCCCAGTGTCCCAGTAACCAGGTCCTTCTATTGAATTGGACAAATGTTTATAGCATAATCAGTGTTGCCAACCCCTATGATTTTACATGTAAGTGTCATGACATTTTATATTTTTCTTAGACATTCAGCTACTGGAAAGAAGCAATTGCATGGAAACCTTATTTTTCATTGAGGAGTAAAAAGAATAGCTCTCATATTGAAACTTGAAATCATGAAGCAAGTTAACTCCCTAAGGTTCAGAAGGCAAATAACCCCAAAGTTGTTATTTTAATACAGATCTCATGATTTTTTAACCCAGTCTAATTTGGAAGGAGGGGCTGACTCAGGATTTTTGAAGATTTGAGGTTGGCAGTAATGAAATCCTAACTCTTAAAAGACTCCATTTTAGAATTAAATTAAACAAACAGATCATTTCTGCCAAAGATGAAATCTAACTATGTTTGTGATCTAACCATTCATTTCAGTATACCTTCTGCTGATATAAAATGCCATTTGACTGACATTCACTTCTGGATTTCTTAAACCTTTGTCTTTTTTCTTGAAGCTGGAATTTATTTTATCATTTTTTGCCTATTTGTCTATTTTAGAAGAAAAGGTTCAACAATAAAAGATACAATAAGCTGGCTACCCACCAAGTTTTGCTTTTATACATAACATTCCAATAACTTATCCTACCCATCACTTTGAAATGGGTCACTGTAAGTCATGCAGTGCTTCTAATGAAGATGTAGGGTGCCATCTGGTGGTCATTTAAATTTTGTGACAGACAATTAGGTTGCTATTTAGCCAATGTACTGCATGATTTGTGCTTCCTTCAATTTTTATTTTATTTAAAACAAAATATACGTGTTATAATAAGTCCAGTTTTCTCCTGTTGTATCTGGTTGCATTTTTGGTACAAGATATATGTGACATGGCAACTTTACATATATTTCATAGTTTTGCAGTTGCCAGGTAGCCCATTACACTAAACATGCCTTGCACAAGTTCATCCCAACCTCTGCAAAAATAATATGATAAAGAAAAATTATAAAAATTAGAGCCTCTTAAAAGAAGAGAGGGCCACTCTTATAGGGCCAAATTGTCATGCCTTATTCATTTAACATCAATATTCTACTTAATTGCCCACAACCGCAAATACTAAATGTAGTGACATTTTAAGTTATTTTTTGCATAAAGGCAAGGTTTCATATCTCATGTTTAGAGATGGAACTGGGTGGTTCTGTCTCCAGATCTAATGCTGACTTGGGATGTAATATTGGACTCATCGCACAGCCTCTTTGCAATTCCATTTCTGTAGCTGGTACCTGGTAAAACTCATCTCACAGAAAAATTGAGAGGTAAAGGTAATTAATGGTAGCAAAATGTTTAAAGATTGTTCTCTGCCACACAGCTTAGTGTTGAGTAACACCTAATGTAGATTTTTCAAATGTAGACTTTTAAAAATAATATAAACTAACAGTGCTGCTTTTTGTCCTTATGAGGCATGTATGCAATGATATCTTTACACTTTTCCTGGTACCCTCCTAACATGAAAGGACATGGGACCAAAATTCTCTGCAATTTAGTGCCATTTTAGCATTATGCCAAGAAATAATTTAAGTAATTTTCAAGTAAAATTAAAACAAATCCTTTATAGATCAATTATTTTTTAAGGAATTATTGTGAAACTAACAAGAGTATTATTCCACAAACATGAAAACACATATTTTAATTATTCTATTAGAGTTAACCATGTGAATAAAGTGAGAGGGTCCTGACCCTAGAAGAATCAGATTTACTAGTTAGAATTTTTAGTAGATTTTTAACTGTATTTCAGTGGCTGGCATCAGATTGTTACAGATCATTCTGATGATGGAATGACAAGGTAATTTAATGCATGCTGCATTAGGTCCAGCACTATCAAGGTACTTACATATGTGCCTAGGTTTAAGCACATCTAGAGTAGTGACAATACCTTTGCTCAATATCAGGCATGTGGTTTGGTCCTTGATAAATCAGCACCACAAATTATTACTGTCGTCCCACAGAACAGCATCAGCTTGTTAACAACCTTTCTTTTCATGCAAACTTCTTCAAGTTCAAGCAAGTGCAATATGGTTACTAAAGGAGTTCTATGTTTATGCCCTGTATTTTCTTAAGGCAGCACTACTTAATTTCATTACCCTTTGCCCATAGAGATCTCTTCTGAAAGACAAAGGCAGCTTACTCAGGTGGAAGAGCTTTTGGAAAAGGTGGAAAAAACAGATTTTGATTATGCAAAACCTAGTAAAATGGTCCATAGATATAATTAGTGTGTTGAATTCTAAATCAGGTTAATTATTAACTATGGAATCTGCTGAGATACCATAGGATATTTTGGTTTGTACTTTTTTTAAATTACAAGTAAAAACAAGCAAACAAACTATAAATCTTATTGCTTATTTTGCCTGCACACTCCAAAATAAATAAATAAATAAATAAAAGAAACTGCAATGATGGAAGAGATGCATTTCTTGCTGAGAAGCTAGAGCCAAAGCAATCCTATGATTATTTATGCATCACATGGGGCCCATAACAATGAAGCAAACTATGGAAATACAAACACTAATACTAATATTATGATGTGAGAGGAGCTTTGAATTTCTGTTTGGAATTGTTGCAGATATCCTGCCCATTTCTTTTTATAATCCAGAGCAGTTAGGCATGCAGTGGACAAAGTTCAGGGATGTGTAAGGGTTTCTGGGAGTAGAAGGCAGCACAGAACAGGAACTTGCTTCACCCAGAAGTTCCCCTTCCTCCTGTCACACAGGGCCAGGGCACAGCCAGGAGAGAGAAGTCCTGTTAGCATGTGTGAGCAGGAGAGGGGGAGGGGAGCAGTCGGAGGAGAATAAGGATCAATCAGCAGTTGAGGACAAGCTGTGATATGAACACAGTGATAGTTCCAGTCAAGTGAAGACAGGTGAGAAAACAGCCTGAAGTGCCGCTGGAGGCAAACTGTTAAGTTCATTATCAACTCACCATGGAGTAAAAAGGAAAAGTGTATTTCCTGGGTTGCCATTTCCTGGCTTTTAGCCTTGTCTCAATGTGTATGAAGTGAGTTAGTTATTTCTATGCTGGAAGCAAATCCAAAGTCTGCATAGCGCTGTACACTTCAGCACTCAACTTTGCATTATTTTTTTAACGTTGGTCTCTGCGTTTTATTCATATAATTAGCCATTCAAACTGGTGTCCCAGTGAAATGTGTTTGACACGTTTAGCACTCAGCCAGGGACAGACGAATTGTGTCCAAGCTGTCAGTCATTCTTAGACTTGGGTGACTAGTGAAGGTCTTAGAAAGCCTGTCCCCAGATGGCTTGAAGCTCAGCTTTGCAGACTTATGTTCTGATCCTATCATGAGCATCCACAAGGGAGTCTCTGTGCATACATGGGATACCTTCCCACTTAACCCCAACTAGTGCTCTATGCATACATAGGGGTCTGTCTGCGTGGAGCACTTGGCTGGATAGTGTCGTATGCAGCTCAGAAGGGAAACTGAGTTCTCAACTTTGAGAACTCTCACCAGTGCAGTTTCCTAATCTTCAGACCACCTTCACCACACCTAGACCTAGAGCTGCCTTCTCTTACTGGTGCCTCCCTAGCTTAATGGACTAAGACACAGAATCATATTCTGCTTGATACCACACTGCCCATTGACTTCTTTATGATGGCATGTGTCTAACAAGGCATAAAGAGGCCACTAGCTATTAACAGGTTTTAAAAAAAACCTACAAAAACACCAAACACAATTGTATACAAAACCTGAAATATTTTACTTTTTTTTTTTAAACTTTGATCTAAGTTTACTTAGATTTCATGAACTTGATACAAGAGCATTTGATATGAATTGGTAAATAAAACACTGTAATAGATAGCCACAATAAACTTTGTTAGAAATGTACATGTTGCGAAAATAATAATAAAAAAACAGCATGATGTCTGGGTTATATTATATAAATGCTCAACAAGAACAGTATACTAGGGAAGCTTAAAAACCCTGCTCTGCATAAGTCTGGGGCCCTATTCAACTAACTCTCTTAGACTCCTTAGCGCTCAGAATCTATGTCACACTATAACAGTATAAAGGTTAGTTAATAAGGCCTCAGTTGTTTCCTGTAGCTGTTTTTTTCATGGACATCACATCCAGGTAATGTGTATATAAACAAAGCTCATAAGAAATGTACAAATATAAAAAGCTACAAACATTAATAAATTACATCATCACAAAACACAGAAACACTTCACAAGGTGCTAGTAAAATAACTGTATCCCCCTCATAATACAAGAATTAAAACAAAGAGCTGGTATTAAAGTTGAAGATTATTCTTCAAAATGTGTCTTAAATAGATTATTTTGTACTCTGATTTGATTCTGTATAAGACGTTTTCTAAGGCTGCACAAAGTTTTACTTGTTTTTCAGGCAACGCCCAAATCCAGAAAGAAAGGAAAATGAAAAACAAAACAAAATCAAAACAAACCCTTTTAGAATCAAACTAAAAATACAATGGTTGATAATACTCAGCCAAAACTCGTATAAATGTTAATGAAGGATTCTATAGAAAGAAATTTCTAAAGATACTTTACTCTTATAAAAAAGAAGTTATTTAAAAAGCTATGTACAAGCTACATTCTATGAAAAATATGCCTTAGTAAACACATCTAAAAAATTAAAATACGGGGTTGCCTGAGAAACAAATTTAACCCCTCAAGTGTTTATATGCAGACAAGCAGTTTAATGTAAAAGAATGCACTCTACACCAAACACTAAGAGAGTTAAAAGACAAAAAAGTATCCAGTCAAATTGTCAATAAGCTACACTTTCCCCACTATCAGACACCTGGGTACATGCAGCCTTCATTCCCAAGGTTACCTACATGTATCTGATAAGAAGTGCTTTGATATGAGCATCAAAAGCTGCACATGAAGAAGCAGAGCTTGACCTCATATACTGCAGTTAAATGACTGCAAAGTCTGCAACACATCTTGGCATGCTGTGGAGTTCACCACGGATGCAGGCAATTATACCATCATGTATACCAGTTGCCTGAGAAAACTGACCCTCAAGCAGAGAGGAAACGCAAAGGTTTAGCTAAAACTCCCAATCAGTTCTGAACCCCCTAAAAGAGGTGGGCCTTGCCAGTCCCAAGTGGGCTGTAAACCAGCTTTCACTGTGCATAAACACACGCTGTCTTGTGCACCCAGGGTTGTCCAACCGTCAGCGGGATGAGGCGTGGAATCGTGCTCAGGTGTGGAGACAGCTCTTTTGGTTGGCCCATACTTCTGTCATGACCAGGGAGAAACCATCATGTTCTGCCTTATGCAGACTGCCTCCTGCATTTATAAGTGCACCTTAAAATGTCTTGGGAACTCAGACACAGAAAATATCCCCCTTTTTAAATAGAATTTCAATGCAGAATTAATTTTAAAACTCAGGTCTATTTCTCCTTGACCAAATACCTCTGTAATGTTGGTATATGTTTTCTTAAGTGAAGAGTAACTGAAGTGGATGTGCATTCTGCTAAAACAACCTGGCTTTTACTTATGAACAAATTAGAGGGATACTTTCCTAAAACTGGAATGATCCTCAATTTCTTGGATTATTATTAACTTTTTGCGAACTAGTCACTCTCAGCAATTTGAGAAAGGACATCTATATTAAAAAATATTTATAGCAGTATTCTGTACACTTTAACTGCTGAAAGTTAAAAAGAATTATTAAAGTGGTGGCAAAAAGTTAACTGGTATTGTCCCTAAAATGATGCACAATACTACTGAAGTCCTTCAAGAGTTGAAGAGTTAGTGTCAGCTCAGGAGTTACTGAGCTCTGATCAAGTCCCAGTTTTCTAACTATTAAAGAAGAAGTTTCCCATTCCGATGGATTTTCAAAATCTTCCCAAGCCTCTGCTTAGCGGTAGCCATACCCTTTTTTGTACGTTTTCCTGAAAGTAAAAAGAAAGGGGAGGGGAAAAAGACAGTTTAAGCAACAGCAGTTACAGCTATGCAGAAACAACAGAACAAGATATTTAGATCCAAAGTAGAAGGGCTAAATTTGTATCTTCTGCAACCATACTGATATCTGATTCTCACCTGAATTAACTGTACATTTACTACAGATTCTCACAGTTTATTTTTACATGCTGCTCTATGGATAAGTATCACAACAATCAAAATGTTCTAATGAAAAAGGGAATGTGCACCATATACCATCCCGATGACTCATTCAGCATGGATCTTAAACAAGTTTAACTGAGAGTAAAACATACGGCACAAAAATTCTGAAAATAGCATTTACTGGATAATTGTGCTGATGAGCTGAAGGAGGCAAGTTTTGACAACATACAGTCTGCAATCCTGCAGATAGCTATCTGCAGCTGCTTGACAGCTAGAGAATGAGCCAGGGTCAGAGCTGGCTATATATTAAGCCCTTGAGCCTCTGTCCACCAAACAATATTGTTCCCTATATCAATAAAAATGCAACACTCATTTGCTCATCCTTTTATGTTCTCTAGCAATTAAACCTCCTGAAATTTGATCATCAGTATCTTCTCTGAGTGTGTTGGGCACTAACCTACCCTTCAGATCCTTCCTTTCTTCTCCTACAATCAACCATTCTGCATCACTTTACAACAGCCTTGAAAAAAGTGTGAACAGCTGAATACTTACGGTGCTATCAAAGTTAAAAAATACCATGAAGGCAGGGTATGAAAAATCACGTGTTAAAAGTTACAGTTAAAAATCTATTCATGTATGAAGTTGCAGGTGCTGTTTGTTTATGCTGCCAGCATTTTTCTACCCTAGACACGTGTCTTCACTGTGGTTTCTGGAGGCAACTGAAGTGTAACTAAGATCTTAGCTACATGGCTTGCCAAATACCGTATAACTTCGGGTCACAAATTCAAGTGGTTTGAAGAGTACGTTAGACTACACAAAGTAAACAGACCAGAATGCTCACTTAGTTTTACTCTCTATAATGTGGGTCTTTGTAAAACACATGCAACTGGACACAGCCATGCTCTCATAACTATGCATCTACTTTAAGAATCCAATCCAAAACCAAGTAAACTGGAGTCTTACAATTGTTTTAATAGGCTTTGGAGGATGCCTAAAGGGATAGGCCATGAACCTCAGTGTACTACTTCAATGTAATTGGAGTTGAAAGTTGGTTACATGGTTAAGAAAAATACAATGCTGCTGTTTGAAAAATATTTTCTTCTCCCCACTCATACATTCCCAGTCTTCAAGCATGAACTCTTGCACACATCTCCAGCAACAGCAAAGCTACATAATTTTACTTAACCTTGCTCCCTCCACTCTTAAGACCCCATTAAATCCAACCTTATAGCCCCCACTTTGGCATCTATCGCACAGCTACCTTAGTAGGTATCACAACCCCCACTCCTTTTAATAACCAGCCACCCAGGACATCAGAGTGCACTCCTTTCTCACCAGAGAGGCAAAGCCTTTGCTCACTTAGCTGAGAGTGGTGCTTGGGAGTCTTGACCCGAGCCGCACTCTGCATTCTAGCCCAAAGCCCTGGCAGGGCTGCACACCTTCTTGGGGCAGCTTCTGAGCTATTTTTAGTTCATAATATAACCCTGTTTATTTCAACAGATCTACTTGTGTCATAATTTGAACATATCAATATGCAGCTTAGGATGAACTGTTTTTTTTGGCCTCTGTGCTAACAGCCACAAGAATAAAACCACAAATTCCTGTTCATACTAGTAACTTTCTCTGGTTTCATATTGTGAACCCAGATTTTGCAATAAGTATAACACTTTGGGAAATGACAGCACTTCTGGGCCAGTTCCAAAAAGTGCAAAGGCTCTTATATTGCCTCTGAGGCTAGATGTTGCTTTTTCCCAAGACCACTTACATCTGTCTCCCAGAAGAGAAAGTCACAGGCTTGGCATGTACACCCATCACCCTTCTGATTAGGGTTAGTGAATGCACTGCCTCTTTTCTGCCATTGATTCAATGATGCAATCCTGGGACACCCATTCACATGCATAAGCCGTCTTATCCTGCAAACCTTTTTAGAGGTTGTCCTTCAGAACAGGTGGAAGATGCACCCACAGGTAGTCTGGTGGTGGGGGTGCACTTCTGACAGTTAGGAGGTGTGCACCTAGGGCTCCCTTTATTAAGCCAACAGCTGAACTAATAACTCTGGAGGCAGGTCCCCTTCACTTCCTTCTCTCCTGCTCCATGAATCTTGGAGAGAGGTAACTCTGGGGCAGAGAATAAAACCTAAAACATGAGACTGAAGTCACCAAGCTACAACACCTGACTTCTCCACCCTCTTCCTGGCCCAATGAACGTTGGCTGGCCCAATGAATGCTGTCCTGGCTGCCCAGTGGTGCAAGCTCCTAAGAAGGGAAAGCCACAAATGAGGCCTAACCTGTGGGCCTGCTGATTGCTCTCTTCACCCCATGGATCTTAAATTCAGAGCAATGCAGTATCAGCATTTTTCCTAGCAATGCCTCTGGCTTCATGTTTGAGGCAGTCATAGGGGATGTAGAAATAGGAGTTGTGCATATTACATTAAATAGTGTGTGTGTGAGGGGGACCCTTGAAATAATCTTAGATGAGGGGAAAAAAGAAATTAGTAGCAGCTCCCCCCAGGCAACACCCTCATTCACAGTTCAAGCTAGCCACAAGAAATCTTGCTGTCCTGGCTGTGGAGTAGGCACACACTGAGGGGGAGAGCACTGATACAAACAGGCGCAAATGGTTAAAACCCCCAGAAGAAGGTGCAAGTCCTTGGTTTTGGTCTCCTTTGCAGCTTGTTATGGATCTACACTAATCAGTCCTTGACTAGAAAAACTGAGCAAACTGGGGAGCAAAGATTTAAACTACATTTCTCTGGTCTGGTATGGATAATCAGACCACTGCTCTACAAATTTAGGCTCTCTCTTGAAAACTGTCTTCCTGGTCTCATTTCAAACCTGCTTTTTTTGCCACAGAGGGGCCAGCCTAAAGAGATGATTAGAAACGGCAACCTGATAAACTAGCCTGTAGCCTGGTGCTTAAACTGTGTCCCTGGGAGGTCAAAGCTCTAAGCTCATTTTCCTTCTGGGCCTCTCTTTTTCCCCATGACAGACCTCCACACAATGAGCACATCAACCCGAGAAGTTTCTAGCCCTGAATGCACGCCTGGCAGGAGAACATCCAAGCTGCTGATGCATCTTACACAGGCATAGGCCAGAAAGGAAAACAAGTACTAAATGCAATCTAGCATTCAGAGATCAGCCCCTTGGCCTTCTATCTCCAAGACATAATGAAACCTGCAGAGGTACACTCCAGCTGGTGGACTCTCTTCTTGGCCCCATGAAGCCTGCCTTCCTGCCTGCACAAAGGCATAGCCACAAGAGGAGCCGGGTGAGCACCTCCATAGGCTACTGTAGCCTTATAGTTTGAGCACTTGCCTAAGTTACCAGAGCTATGTGTTCAACTTTCCCATTGGCAACAGAGGTTAGTGACCCCCTGGCACCTGCTTTCTATCCCTGCCAGCTTAAAGAGCCAGCAGTTCATGACCTTATCAGCCACATCTCCCACTTCCCATTAGTGTGTTCAAATCAGCAGGCAGGCGGTGAGAGGGGTTTTGTATTCTGCAACAGAATAGCCCTCACAACATGAACTGGCAATGTGAAGATCAGAACCTACAGCACCTACTTCTCAGGTTATCCCAACCAAGTGCTGGTGGCCTGGGTAGGCTCCTGCTCAGGTTTTCTCTTTCAAGCCCATGAATCATTCCTATCTGTGCACAATACCAAAGCTACAAAAGAAGGGTCCCACTTGAAGGTTATTGTCCTGGGAGATAGGAGAAATGCTTCAGAGTCTCTTCCCATTAAGACAAAGCCCCCCTTTCTCTAGGAGCACTTCTTCCAAGAACATTTCAAATGCACCTCCCTCACCTCCCAGGAGAATTCCACAAGTGCCCGGGTGAACTAAAAGAACTGGAACAATCCAGGGTGCATAGAGCAGTATAACCAGGTCCCACAGCTCAGGGGAACCACTACCTTTCAAAAGCAGACTGCTGCTCAAGTGTGCTTTTCCTTACCCCACACAGCTTGCTTTCCTGTCTGCACAGCAGCAAAAGGAGAATGGAGAAGACAATGGAGTCTCTTCTGGCTCCTTGAATCTTGCCTTTCTGGATGCAGGGAGCCATAGGCTCAAGAATGGGGTACAAAAGGCAACCTACTGGGAACCTGCTGGCAACCTGTAGCTTCCCAGGAACAGTTCATGTTCCTGGGAAGCAGAACATGTGGGTCTGAAGCCCTACTAGTGGTACAGGTCAGCGACCACTGGTTTCTGACTTTCTGGGTCAGTGCTTTGCTCCTCCTTAGGCCATCCACCCAAGTAGTGGGAGCTGAGTGGATTCAAAACTCCACCTCCTGCCTTCCAAAAGCATGTCCTATCCCCAGGCAAGACAAAGTTTGCATTTCAAATTAAATAGCCACAGGCTAAAAATACAGAAACAGCCAGGAGGTACAAAGACCAAACCCTACAACCCTCATCTCATGCTCCCAACACACTGAGCAGAAGTAACTGCCTCATGTTTTCTTCTCTTTGTCATTTGAATCTTGAATTACTGCATGCACAGTGCAAGCACTTTCAGATAAGAGCCATATGTAGAGACTGTGTTCCCTTCCCCAGGACTAGTCAGGCTTTCTACACTGAGCAGCTATTGCCCTGAAAAGTGAAATACTACTACAGTTCAGAGAGGAGAACACAGATATTTTAGCTCTGACCTGAACCAATGCACCCATGGACTGCAGACCCAGCAGCCCTCAGAGCTTTGGCCCAATGAATCCGGTATTCCTGGCTGCACAACAGCACAGCTTCAGTGCCTTGAGCTGGTAAATATATTTGCCCAGGAGATCTTGTAGCCTCTTGGCTGGGGTGCTTACAAGGGAGACAGGACTCCTGGGTTCAGGTCCCTGTTACCTAGATTTCTTCTCTAGTTTACATTAAACAGTCATTGGTAAAAAAAAAAAATCAAAAACCAAACAACTCTGCAAGCTATAGTGAGAACCCAGAACACCAAGCTCTGAACCAAACACTTAACATAGCCAGGCTAGCAAAACTGGCTTTTCCTTGGGCAGGGGTATTTTCCTGGCCCTATGCATCTTACCGCTCTGGCTGCATAATGGCACAGCTTCTAGTGGAGGGGTGGAGAAAGCGGTCATCCTGGCTTCCTTTGTAGAATGGTGGTTCACACATGGCCCTGGGTAGGTAGAAGGAGTGGGTTTGAATCCTTTCAGAGCACTGACCCAGCCACTTGGATGTTTGGGCTTCTTAGCCTCCTCAGCCTGAGAAAATTCAAAGTCACCCATCCCGCCGCCCAGGCGAGGGCTCTAACCAGCAGGCTAGAAGCTGGATGGATTTTGCATTTAACAGCAAGCAGTTCAGGGTTAAAATACTGAAAGAAGCCAGGGAGCATTAATAAGAACCTGGAATTCCCAACAGAAATGTTAGCCCATTGGGCTATGGAGCCAAGCTCCCTCTTGTAGTCTTCCTGGCCCCATAGACTTTGCATTCCTGTCTGCACAGTGGCACAGGTTCACAAACAGGTCAGGAGAACACTTGTCCCAGAATCTTTTTTTGGGAGGCATCACATTTGCACTCAGAGCACTCACCTAACACAAGTAAGAGCTTTTCACTCTGAGGGGATTCAAATAAGCCCCCTTTATGCAAGGTGAAACATAGGCCAATAATGCTCGCCTCACTCAGTATGCACAGTTACATCCTGAACTGGCATAATTCAGCTTAAAGCCACTGAAACATATAGAGACACAATAGAGCAGGCATGCAGAACTGTATTTTAGAGAACAATCTTGCCCTCACTGGTGCACAGACTAGGTGATGGATAAGGTTTTGGCTATTTTTCTGTGAGCCTGTGAAGATTGATATTACCTTTGGCAGCTGCATTGTTCGGTGATGATGAGGGTCTCTTCTGTGTGAGGAAAACTCCAGGTGCCATAGGTTGAGAACCTCTGTTTACCTGGGCAACTCCAAATGTGCTTGCCCCAGCAGTATATTCATGGTCTGTTAGAGTACTGCTGTGGGACTCTAATTTCGGCTCAGGAGAGCTGCCTTCCTGAGAGAGTTTGTTTGTGTTGTTGGGAGACAGTTTCTTTTTGGTATTCTTCTTCTTTTTGCCTTTTTGTTCCTCCTTTCAAGAAAGCATTGAATTCCCATCAGTCCCAGAAAATACTGAGTTACTATGATAACCTGAAACATTTACTTGTTTTGTTAGACTTTGATTTAAGACAGAAATCAAAATATTGCCAGAACTTGATAATACAACAGAGTCACCAGAACTGTTAAATGTTTAGGAAGCACAATTTGTTCATAACAGCGCTTTTATCGATTGCTGGCCTATTAGTTGTATCCCCTGTTGTCTCTCTTGTCTCTATTGTAAGATCTCTGTGGCAGAGACTGTTTTTCTGTTGCAGGCTGGTACACTGCTTTAGCATGATGTATGACTTATGTGTCTTATGGTAATAGAAATAACAACAAAAGAAGCGAATATCATGAGCCTGATTCTCAGTTACACCAAAATTACAATGATACCTGGGCTCTGCCCCCAGTTTGTTGTATATGCTGCCTGTCAGGGGACTGGTTAGTGTACCCTACACTGTGGCTATTCTGTTTTCCACAGCTCACAGAGGGCTATGGAGGCTAAATCAGAGTAGCTCTGAGACTGCTCTGATATATACCAAGGACTGGGCCAGGGATTCAGGAGTTCACAAGGAGAACAACTGATGCTTTCTCCCTTTGTTGCTGAACAGTGCAGGAAGAGAGTCACTGAGAACCAGGGCTAGATTCTTTTCATCTCACATGATAACATTCTCTTCTGTGCTGCAAGGAAGGCCTCTAGAGCATCAAGACTACACAGGTTCAGAGTATGAGCCAAGACTGAGACTCAAGCAGGTTTTAGGCCTGTGCTGACCCTCTGTGTAGGGCCAAATTTCACTCACAATGAAAAAAAAGTTTAAACTGGCTCCTCAGTTCTGTGCTATGTCATGTCACCTGCTGTTTAGAGTTTTTTGGTATTTCAAAGGAGGTTAAAGATCACATTGCAGAGAAAATGCAGTGTTAAACAGTGGATGGTATATTTGGATGGCCGCAGAGAAAATGCAGTGTTAAACAGTGGATGGGATATTTGGATAGCTTTATTCCCCTGGATTTTCCATAAATTCAGATTATCTGACACGGAGGCATAACAACCATTTTTATAATGAAAGTTTCTGGTATAAGGGGATGGACTTATAAGGGATAACTACACCCAGTCTGATAGACAATTATTTTTTTAAGAACCACAGTTAAAAATCTACTCCTGTAAATTAAACCAGTTTAGATTTCATCTGCATGTGTCCATACTGCGAGTCTCTTCCTAAAAGCAAACAAGCTGTTGCCTGCTTCACCCTGCTCCACTGTTGCAAGGCATAGTAACAACCAACTACTGGATGAGATACCCCAAAGTAGATGTCCATCCCGGTCTAACTGGCACTGATGGACAAAACTCGTGTACATCACACTGGGGTATGTGTTTGTCTTTCTGTGTCCTAAGAGAGTTTTATAGCAACTCTCAAAAGGTTAACAAATATAATTAAAATAAGAAAGTACTTATGAGGAAATCTGGTATAATCCTTGATTTTGAATTACTTAGGGTTAAAGGTTCAAAGTGACTTAAGGCCAGATTTTTCAAGAAGATATCTAGGCATCAAAGTTGTATTGATTTCACTGAGAATTAGGGACTGTCTATACAGCACAAGGCAGAGCTATGAAACCCTGTACTCACTCCATTAGTACCGACTCTATGGGTTTGTACATGAGTACTAGCTCTCAAACTAGAAATATGCTAAACGGCAGCACCTGCTGTCATGTGTTACTGCACTACTACAGCTACACAACTTCTGGGTCAGGAGGTGGCGTGCTCAGAGCACTTGGGGTGTTTCAGGACAGAGCTGCCTTGTACTGTTAAGGCATAGGTTTAATGGCTGGTATACTTCAAAAAAAAAGCAGGACTTAGGTGCCTACGTCCATTTTTCAAATGGGATTTACGCATCTAGTCTACCTGGCTATTTTGAAAGTCTGCAAGGTGTTTATCTATATCTATGGATGCTAAAATGCCATTCCTTTCATTTTTAGTGAGTTTTAGATTCTTGAGACCTAAAGATGTAGATAGGTCTTCTAGGTTTACTGGTAATTTTGTCAGTGTGTAGCCATGTGTTGTGAACATTTCTGTAGCATTCCTTAAATTGCTTAATTTCCTTATATTTCTTGAATTCATAGATCATTTAGTCTGATAAACTAGGCCTCCTCTACACTGTAGCATTGCTAGATGTCTGAAAGTGTGCTTTGGGGCCCAAATCCATCTATATTGAGGCCATTAGGATTTGTGCCACTGACTAAATGGAATACAGTATTGGTCTTGTACTTGAATTAAACATGAACTATTTTGACAAGACAGTTAACATTCAAGAAGCATACAGCTCCATTTTAAATATGGTATAATTTTAATAGAAAGCTATCTATCTAGCAAGCAACCTCACCTGCTGGGACAACTTGGCAGCTGCTGCTGCCAGTCCAGTTTCAATGGATGCAACTCTTGTACCCTCTCGAACAGGTCTGTCTTGTCGAGGTACTGAGGGGCCAACTCTTGCTATATGTAAAAAACAAATCAAAAGAAGAATCAATTTACAGTAGAATTGCAACAGTGTTTGTGCAGAGGGGGCAACTATAGTCCTAAGGAGTGCAGGGAAAGGGCATGAAAAGTACAGGAAAGATCTTATCCATTAGGGTCCTTTGATGGAGGTGGTGCCAGTGTCCTTAATGGTGAAGGGTTATTAAGGCCATGGAGTGGCACATGAGGAGAAAGAACTCAGATTCTACCAAACTGTGTAGCCTTCAGGAGGAAACTTACCTTCTCCTCTAGGATGTCACTGGTTTACCACATTTAGTAAAATATAAAAAAAATTAGGGAACCTGAATTCATTTCAAATCAACTGGGCAGATGTTTCACAGGGATTTTTACAAACTGTTTGTGTCATAAATGGCCAGAGAAGATTTCAACCAGTGGAGGAGTTATGCTAGGGTCCACATAAGCACCCCTTCCCTTCCCTGTCATCCTCAGCTTCTAAGGTGCCAGGCAGCACTGAATGATATGTACTGAATGCTTCACGGACAGCCCCAGTAAAACTGCTGTAAATTTTTAGTAGCCCCTAGAGCTCTTCTAATTTATGCCAGGGCTTGCAGTGCTCCTACTTGGTGCAGAATCAGGCCATTGTAAAAGGTGGTCTAAGGTGGCATTTGTCTTCTCCCACTTTTTGTGAGATGCAGCACAGAAACTGTCCCCACTGGTTATTCAGTCTTACTGAACAGCTTTTACACACACACACACACACACACACACACACACACACTCTCTCTCTCTCTTTCTGTTTTCTTTAAAACTGCTCATTGCATATAGCAATGAGCTGCTTGACACTGAGATTTCACCCTTGCATCACCTTAAGAGTGGGAGCACATCATCAAGCTTACCAACAGGATGCACGGCTACCCAAAACCTGTTGTTTATTTTTAAAAAGTGGATGAAAGATGCACAATGCCCCGGATGTGTTAGTCTGAATGTAGTACAGTACAGAGTGGATTATCCAGATAGTCAATTAATCAGAAGGTTTTATGCAAAGCATTCTCTGGTAGGTGGGTTGTGTTTGTTGATGAGACTACTACACGTTGTTTATTTACTAACACTTTGAGATATTAAAATGTTGCATGGAACCATCTGCTTATGTCTTGTTGTTTTTTAACATCTGCTATGCAATACAGTAATTAAAATATAGTTTTCTGCACTTTATACTGCAGCGTTTAATTATCCAGAAAAACTGCTTCTCCAGAATGGCGGTGATGCTAATTATTTCAGAAAGTCAATGTTCTACTATATTTACAAAATTGGAACAGTTACATACCATTAAAAGGGAGCTTCCCCTCTAACAAGGACTGTCCAACTTCTAAATCTCCAGGGGGCCCATATGTCTGGGGAGGGCCACACCCACTGCTACAGCAGATGCTCCCTCCCCCACTGATGGACTTTGCAGGCACGATTCCACTCCCACCACCGTCCCACGTGGGCAAGGTCCTCCCCTCCACACAGCCCTGACTGTACATGGCCTGGACTTATCCTCAGCTCTCCACACTGCCCTGCAGCTGAAGTGATAGGGGAATAGTGGATGGGGGCCTGGGGGCCATAAATTAACCCCTCACAGGCTACATACAACCCTAGGGCTACCTGTAAGAGAGCCCCAATCTAGATTGTCACGTTCCTTATGATAAAATAACAAGCCACGCTGTTCTTTAGTAGGCCTGCCACTTGAAATATTTCCACCCACCTCCCACCCCTTATCCACAAGTCAGACCATTACAGACATCAAAGACTTGCCTGTCGGGCTGTACGGAGCATCATCAGAACTTTTTCTTTTCTTTGATCTTGATTTGAATACTGGATTATCTTCATCCGATTCAAGGGAAGGGTAAACTAGACCAGGAAAAAAAGTATACTTATAATATATCAGTTGCTTATACAGTGTTAAACAATACTGTTTGGGGTGTAACATATGTACAACCATGTGGAATCCCTTAGAACATCTTCCCCTCTTTCCTGCTCGTTCCTAGCCACAAATATCTTACTGAGATATTATAAAAGAAGGGCCAAATTGTTTGTTGTGAGAGAAAATACTACTTAGGAGATAGGAAACATAGTGAGGACCCACTAACAGGACTCTTGTCAGAGGAAGGGTCTGTCCTTCACTTAATGAGTAGAGCATTTGTCACCCTTTTGCTTGTGGTAGTCCCAGGATCAGTGCCAGAGCCCTGGGAGACCTAGAGAGAGTCTGGCTCTATTCTCACCGGGTCCTGCTTCTGCCTAACCCCATTGCCAGCTCCTCCTGGGTTCACGGGTCCCTGATCTTACACCGTTCTAGCATAAAGTGGAGAAGGGACAAGGGATAGGGCAACCTCTTGTCTTCTTGATATGTTTGGGGACCTTCCTTCAATTGCTGGTACTACTAATGAATCAGAAAAAATGTTCCTTCCATTTCCCCAGGGACAGCGTCTGCTTTTAAACAATGAATGGGCCTCATTTAAAAGCCAAACTAGAGAGATTCTCTCTCTTCCTCTCATCTATGACACTCTTTTATGATCAGGGGGTTGCAGAGTGTTACTCAACATGGAACCTGATATAGAAAAAGCAGCAGACACCAGAACAAGGAGCAAAAGGAAAAACAAGGCTGGATCACTTTAGGGGACTGTCAAGTCCCAAGCATAAAGAGCATAGCAAAATCTCAGCTATCATTAAAAAAAAAAGTAAACTCGCTTTCCTGGTTATGGAAAAATGCTTGAAGACATGATCATAGTGTAAGCAAGGAAGTGATACTGGCCTAAGTTTGCAGATGCTTTTGAGGTGAGAAATGGCCTATTCCTGGCAGTGGCATGTTAAATCAAAAGACCTGGTCTTGGAGCCCCACCAATGCATTTTATTGGTGTCTTTTAATTATTCATTAAACTAGCTTGAAAATCAGACTTATAGTAACACTGAAGAAGAAAATCCTGGTTCGCATCTGGCTTAACTGGTCATGGAGTGTGAAAAACTATAAAAATGCTCTCTCTCTTACATTTTGTTTGAGTTCTGCTAAATTCAGAATTAGCTCAGACAAGCCCAGTTGTGCTGCATTCCAAGGCAGCAAGGCCTACTGAACCGGACGCAACGGAAACTTGGAATTTTGGAGTACTAATTCTTGCATGACCATTCCCATCCTGGGTGGCTTTAGGCACATTATTTAAGCTTCTGGTTCTTCATTTTTCCTTCAGTAGACGGGGAATAATAATTATAATTGGCTCACTTCACATGAGGCGGGGAAGAAGAGGGCATATGATTTTAAGTGCTCATTATTAGCTTGGAGAGCATTGCATCTTTCCAGTGCTTCTACAAATCTATCTTTGGTAAGACATAAATGGATGCTGGGTGGAGAGAGATGATGGTATTCATGGAAACTGTAGAGAATGGTTTTCTTTGCATTTCAAAATATGAAAAGTGGCCACTTGCCATCCAAATTGTTCTCTCTGTATATTTTATAGTCCTTTGGGTACATAATAACAAAACTGAGTTTTATCCAGTTCTGTATAGTATCAAATTTTATCCAGTCCTGAGATTACCTGATCGATTTTTTTAAATGTGCATTTAATTTTTATTTCAGTTTCTGTTTGTTAAGGCAGTATATGGTTTCAACGTAAACATAACTCAGCCACTGAACTGAAAATCTGTTCGCCAGATGCAGTACAAATGGAGTCTTTGTAAACGAAGCTCACTTACAACAAAGAAAACCCATTAAATAGTAGCGTAAATATATAATTAACAAGAATGTTAGTGTTTAAAATATAGCCCTATCCACTTTCACATTGTCACATGGAGATCGTGTCTGTAAATTATACTTTCACAAGATTTTTAATGTAATTTATCTTGACTGATATGCCTATAGGTGCTGTAACTGCAAACGAGCAACATGCACTTGAATTCTTTTGAACACGTATATACAATATTTTCAAAATGAAAATGGCTTGTTTTCATTAAACTTCATAACTTTTCAATTTAAACTTTACATGTATCAAATGGTGAAAGCACAGAGTACTTCCAGACAGAAATTATGTTTTTAAACCAGCCAGCAGCAACCTTTTAAAGTAACATTCTTATGAAGTTGCTAAACAACTGTATTCACTTCTTGAGCACTACATGACGTTATGGTTTTATTTTTCTATCAATCTTAGCATTTTTACTTATTCCACTTTCCCACCTTTTTACATTATTTAAAAGTTCTCTTCGAGACTGAAGTTGATATACATGCCTAAAACATATGCATAAAAACATATGGCACCCTTGTACCCATTTTTTCTGCTTTTTATTTACTTTATTGAATAGCACTCCCTTATCAGCATTATGTTTTATGTTAGGCTGCATAAAATCTGTACATAGTATAAAGTAAAAAAATTAAGATAGTGACACAGGTGACTCCTCTCGTTTGTATGATTTAATAGCTGTCTAATTATTATGGTTTAATTGTATTCCTAAGCTTCTTAAAATATATTTGCCATGTTATATAATTATTTTAGCTTAATAAGAATCAAATATCAAACATCTGCTTGCCCACGCTCCTATGTTTCATATGGTTAATCTGGTCCATTTTTTCTTATTCATCTAATTCCTCTTTTCAATCTTTTTATCTTGCCTACCTAACCTACTCTCCCTAGTTAATCTTACCTAGTCTACCTAATCAAATCTAGCAATATAGGCTTTCCCAGTCATATGGACTTTTACTTATCAGTTAGTGGACACTTAGCTTAGTTGCTAAGTAGTCTTGTTGATTTCAGTGTGAATAACTACAAGTGTATAATTAATTAAGCACATGCATAAATCACTTCAGGACCAAGACTGCAGACATAAGATCACTTTGCTGTCTCTTACCGTAATCAGAATCTTTAAAACAAGCATCTAAATGGTCCTGGTCATCATAATCTTCAATATCAATGCTATTTTTTGTGCTTTTCTTTAGTAACCTCTTGCCTGCATTTTTGTTGTTACTGCTCCCAGTTTTTTTGGAGTTCTGGGTTGAGATAGAGTTATTTTTAGCTTGGTTGGTATTCCACGAAGTTTGCAGGCAGGAGTCTGAAGACTGGAGATTTGCCATTGATAACATTCCCTGGATGGCTTCCTGTGTGCTAGGAGATGCAGGTGGCTGACTGAGGGAAAACATTAACAAATAAAAAGCTTTCAGCTAATTAGGAAAAAAAACATGTAACATTTTATTACTTTCACTGTAAATACACACAGAATTGATTTTTTCTGATTAATGCTCTCACCACTGCCTAGGACTGTGGTATACCAATGATATAATCAAGCACAGAAAGTTTGATAGCCAAACAGAGATTTGAGACTGAGATGAAAATAAGGAAATCTTCCAAAATGTAATTATATAAATAATATCCCTCTTCACAAATTCCATCACCACTGGATGTAAAGAGCAGCCATGTGATTCCCCTGAACAAAATATAGTGATGAGCCTAGAACATTTTTATCAATTGGTAATTCCCCAGTACTCTTTTTAGAAAAGAACTATCAGCTGTGTTGTATTTAGTTTTGGACTGAGTGGACCAGGCTCCACCACAAAATAGCTCCACCACAGAATGAAAAGCAAAATAGCGCCATTACTATTATGTTCTTCAATAAGCTCTCTGCTCTTATTTTGCGCTGCCTTGAAAGCATGGTGATCAGTACCAGCTTTCTGATCACTTGGCCTTCAGGTACACACTACAGGCTTTGAGTGTTTGCTAGATTCAACACAACTCACCTATTTGCACCTAGTTTTATTTCCTCACCTTTAGATAGAGCAGACTAGGGCAACAAAATGGTTAAGGGTAAAATTTTCAAATGTGCTTCAATGATTTAGGAGCCCAAGTCTCATTTCTAAAAGTGACTTAGGAGCCCAAGTTATGTAAGCACTTGTGAAAGTTTTCCTCTTAGTCTCAAGCCAGAGTGACAAAAAACTATCTGTATCTGTTATTGGTGCGGACACATTTTTCATTCACTACCACTGCATCAAACACAGGTAACCAAGCATCTGAGTCCATCTAATCAAACAACTAAATTACAACAGCATTCCAAAAATCTAATACACAGCTATCACACAAAAATCTCAACCACTGCTAAATCCTGTGGATCACAAGTGCAGGATTAAAGTATGTAGCAAGAATAAGAGGATTATGCAGATGCATCCTTATGACCATGATGGACAACATTCTCTTCTATGTTTTGAGGACTACACCTTATCTTCAAAACTGATATTGAACTAGAACATAGTGTGTGGCTTCTGAATTGCAAGGTTTGTGTAGACATCTTGGCTCTTCTTTAGCAGCAGAAACCATTAATTATCGATGTTCAACATGGTATTTTTTTACTACATAAATATTGGCCCCATCTTGTGAGTTCCTAGATCTTAAGCCAGTAATAGTTAAGCATATGCTCAACAGCAAGTATGTGAGAAGTCCTGTTGATTTCACTCCTCAGTATTATGCACATTTTTAAGGCTATGCACAATCATGCCTTTTAACCACTTTAAAAGGGGAGGGAAGCTGCCACTGAGGAGGGTGTAACAGCTGTTACAAAATAACTATTATATCTACATGGTCCTGTAGTGATAAGGTAATTTAGCAAAATTGACCTACATTTGACCCTGGATTAAACAGTTAAAGTTACTATGGTTTAACCACACTTGCATGGCTACAGGAGGGGTCAGATGTCACAGTTACATTGTAACAGCTTCTATCCCTATAATTTGATACCAATTCAGTGATTATATGCCTGCGCTCTTATGTGTTCTGCTGGATCAGGACTCTAGGAAGCAAGGGGGATGAAGTTTAAGACCTGATGCTAATTTCCATCATGGAGGAACTGGTAAATTTCAGGTATTTTGGCTGTGTGTTTGATTAAAAACCTATTCTCAAATACTTGCACTGGAATGGGGGTTTTAACAACGTGAGACTTTTTCAAGCTGCTTTTCAAGCAAGCTCATCACCACCACTTACAAGAGACATTGAGGAACCTTACCAAGTATACTTTATAGCAAGATGGTTAAAGGCATCACAATACCCAGCTAACATAATAGAAAGGCATTTGATGGGTTCAATCTTCAGCCAAAACTCATACATATTCAGTAAGACACTGAAGTCAGCAGTGACTATTTTCACTACAGGTCACAACAGTCTGGAACAATCCTGTAATGGTAGTTATGGGAAGGCCTGCCAGACCTAAGAGGTTATTCTTCATTTTCACTTGCTGTTCTTCACAGTAGCCAAAATAAGGAATTAGAAATGGCTGCAGTCTTTAGACTGAAAAAGAATTTCCCCAGATCCCAGCCTCTGCTCCAGGAACTAAGGTTAGAGTCATCTGGAAAGGAGAAGGAAGGAAGGAAGGGCTGCTTTTAGTTTAGAGTGCCTGTTGAGAGTCTGTTACATCAGGAGGTCCTCTGAAAGTGGTAGGTCTGACAACAGGAAACAGTCTCCAGGCAAGAAATTACCTTTTCTGTTAACCTCAGCTATGTCAATATGGATTCAATGCATTTCTGGAGATAACAGTATGGATGGAAAAAAAATACCATCCAAGATAGAGTGTCATCCATCAGCCAAAACAGCACCAACAGACAGGCGTATGACATGACATCCTACAAGATGTCCCACTGACTTCACTAGGACTTGAGAGCACTTGCTCTCTGGAAAGTGCCTTGCACCTCAGAAGAATGGTCATAGAATTCTTAAAAAATGTGTGATGGTGTCACATACCAGCATTCATCCACATGTGTAAATATTTAAAGTCACTCACTTTCCAACCATGGAGCAGCAACAGCTTCATTATATTCAGGACAGTTCCCACAGTTTACTCCTCTAACACAAGAGATTACCCTGATATACATTTTATATCCTTCCCTAGAAGCAAAGGGCATTTTTACACATGTATGCATCGCAGCGCTGGATGCTTTGAAAAGCACCTGACGCTGCAATGCACGCATTTGTATAAGCTGCAATATGTGTGTCAGTGCTGAGAAAATGGCAGCGGCGCGCTTTGGAACTAAAACACCTTGTAGGTGCTTTATTTCAAAATTCTATAGTGTCTAGGGCAGTTAGCTCTGCTTTATAGAAAAATGAAATAAGAACAAGTTGGAAGCTACAAAACATTCAGAAAGAAAGTAAAATGTAAAGCTTGATTGCAGAAAAAAAGCGATGAAATCCTCTGACTTTAGATCAGAAATCTCTTATAGTAAACATCTGTAAGTAAATTTCAGTGACAATTTCAGGCTTACTTAATATACAATCCTCTACTAGCAGCAGAGGGAACTAGTTATGCCCATCTAGTTAGAAAGGAACCAGACCCTCTCCCCAAGAGAGGAACAGAAACTGCTTATATAAAGAGTATCCTAAATCATCTCTTCTGGCATAAATCGGAGGAATTTTATAGCAAGGTCTAAAGAAGTCCAAATGTTAGTGCTATGTATTCTGGTATGCTGGGTACCCTGTCACCTCTTCCTTGTGTTCTGGTTAGAAAGGCAGGATCTCAGGAAACAGAAGCAGTAATCAGAGCTTTAATTTGACCCTGTCAAAGGCAAAGAATAGCATACGTGGAAAATGGAAAGACAGGTTGAGGAACACAGGAATATGATGAGAGTTCTGCATTGTTACTGGAGGCTTCACTCTGATGGACTGAAGAGCCAAGTAAAGTTAGACATCCTAATATGTATGCATGGCCTGTAAGGTGACCTGCAAGGCTTTCACCTTTCTGCTTATTTTTAAATGATATATGAAGACAGGCAAGAAGGTTTTTATAAAACTTTTTTTTAAATTACGAGCTCATTTATTGTTAGTTCCTGTGCCTTATTCGAAGGGATAGTTGTGATGAATCTTTGATGAAGGTGCCTTTTTTTCTAAAATGTTCATTAGTCTGTACAGTTAAACAGTAGCAAGAACAGCAACAACATTTAAAGACTCTGACCAGGACTGTGATGTTATAATATCATCAGTTTTCTAGTCACAACCGAATCTTCCGGGGCTGACAAGTCCTGGATGTCCATACAAACAACATGCAGGGCAAAATCCATAAAATCTGAAACACAGCAACCCTAGAAACCCTTAAGGGCTTTCTCTTGACATGATAAAGAAGCAAAATAAAGCTAAAAATCTTTTTTTTTTTCTTTTTGCAGGTTACCTTTAAACAAAACATAATTCTAAGAAAAAACCTTGCATGTAGTAAAATTGGACCGCTCTACAGGAAAAGACTATATGTGACCTTGGATCCATGTGAAAGTCCTAGTAAGGTCACATGTGCGACTCAGCTTAACCATTATTGTCCTATGTGCATGAACACTTATGAAAATGGAGACTAACTATTTAAATATTGTATGTAGAATTAGCCTTTCATTCTATTTATTTTGCAACTGTTTACAACGGCAGTCGTACTACTAGAACACTGGCTGCTGTCAAAGACTACATAAAAACCATAGAAAATAAGCAGGCTAAAAATATGACGTGTTCCACACAGCACAATGATTAAATAAGAAAAGAAAAACATGCTCCCGAGAATGCAGAACAAACCCTGACTCTTCAGAAAACGGAAGTTTCTGAAAAGGCAGTTACTGTAGACTCAAGTCAACACTTCAGAGCTCAGGAAAAAACTAAAATGCAAAAACCACTGGCAAATATATTTTGAAGCAGCCTGCAACAGAAACCACTAACACACAACATTTCCTGGGGAAATTAGCAACAGTATGTCACATTCTCTTATTCAGTGCTAACTTCATCTACTTTAAATCATTTTAGATTCTGGATATAGTAACACACAACACATTCAGTAAGTTTCTAGAAACTAGTCATATTCATAAATAAGCCTGAAAATGAGCTAATCCCATTTTAGCCAGCAGTGAATCAGTGAAAAGGAACATCAAGACATTTATTTGGTGAAGTAACACTTTAATCCTCTCATTACCATGCCAAATGCTTTAACCTTCTCTCCAGTGCATGCATATTCTACACCATCTCTGAGAAATTAACATGTTTTCTTCACATTTTATTCAACAGTTTTCTCAAACACCAGACCCTCAAAACAGTGGAAACAGACCATCAAAAACTGACCACTAAATGGGAAAATTAGAGAGGAACTGCCTACAGCAACACAAGCTTTAACAAATAAATTGTGGAATTGATCAAAAACAGTGGTTCTGAAAGTCAAACCACAAACTGAACGTGTGTGTAAAAACCTCTTAAAGACACAGACAGTTATATATAAGGCAAAGTGTTTCTCATTAGGCCATGCACTTACAGATTTGTATTACAGTCATTCTGGTTCTGTTTTCTAAGCCAGAAAAAATGTAGAATAAGAAACAGGAAACAATTATTAAGCTTTGTAAAGCCATATCCTCTTTCTATAGCTTTAGAGATGATTAAAAAAAACATTTATAAAAGTAAACTTTCTGTTAGTTAAAATCATGAACAAAAAGACCTTTAAAATGAAAGTATAGCAGGAACAAAGTAGCTTGCAGACAACTCTGCTGGCCCCAGGACTGGGTGGTTATTTTGAATGGGGTCTTTTAAAAGGGTAGTTAAACTATGCAGCATTATGGCATTTAGCAATATCACTGGACTGTTGCTACTTTGTCACTGAACAAATCGTGCCAATTTTTTGTGTTGCTTGTAATAAAGAAGAATGTTTAAGGAGGGATTGAGAAAAGGACAGTTTAGCAATTTTCATGGATTCAGTTCACATTTTTGCAAGTAGTTTGACTACAGCATTTTTGTGACTTCCTCAGCTGGACTTTTTTTTTCTCCCCCTTTAAAAGATACTTTGCTAGTGCTTGGAAACTTGTCACTCTTGGGAGCAGAGGGGGATTAGCTTACTTCAATAACTGTTCACTGGGTAGTAAGCATCTGGTGATTTTCAGCTGCTTATATCTCAGCAACCGAAAGTAGTACTGCACTGAAAACTGTCAGCTCACACAGAATCTTGATCTGTAAGACACAGTAAAATTTAGTAAAATTTGGCTCACCTAATGCATACTCCATACGCGAAGGAAATGTTCAGTTTGGCAAAAGAGCATTGATACAGTAACATCACAGCTCATTAAATGGTCTACTTGAGGGAATTGTCAAACTAAAGAAGAGATTTTCAATTTCAAAGTTAGCCCAGGCTACTGTAGACACATGTTGTGGCCCAGTTTATGATCCAACCCTCAGCGAAGATAACGGAAGGACTCCCACTGGATTGGCTGACTGAGGCCAATTAGACTAAGTAAAGTTATGTTGAGTATCCAAAAACAGTTTTCCCCTTTAGCTGTCTTGTGGGTAGTAGAACTAAACCACAGAAAGATGGAAATTGTTAATATATGGTAGAAAAAACAAACAAAACCATATTTGCATAATGGAGCACTGTAGCATGTTTGTGCACTGCATTGCTTTCATATTTTTTTTAAGTATGTTATGGCTGTTTATGAATATATTCCATTAAAAACAGCCCAGAGTAATTATGAAATGAAATATAGTAATTTCATTTATCAAGAGATTTTCTCAATCAAGCCTCAGCACATACTGCCAAAACCTGATTGTTTATACAAGAGCCAAAATTGATACGACACATTCCCACTAAACTACCACACACAGTGTAGTAATTCATGTGGAGTTGAGTTATTACTGCACTTTGGACTTTGATTTCTGAAACCACAAAGGCAATGAATGCACTGGATCCAGTGCCTGGGATAAGAGAAGAAAAATGAGAGAATTTAAATCCTCCTCTGCTACAGAACAGTGGTGTTAACCCATAATGGGAAATGAAGTAGCACTGATGTGATGGAGAGCAGGGTCTGGTCCAGCACATGTGAGGGTAATGTAGTTTGGAAAAGTCAGTTGACAAAGATCTGCTGAAACACTGCAAAATGTTCCAAAGTTCAAATAATCCATGCATCATGTATCTGTGAGAGAGCTCTTCTGTACTGTAAACAGTTCATTTATTACCCAATAAGGCAAATATTTCATCCCACACAACTATCCAATTAGCAAATTAATCAGTTTCCAAATGAGTTCCACCAGGGCAAAAAGCCCGTTAGCTCAACAAGTCTACCTCTTTTAGCTTTATCTTTAGATCTCCTGCCATGTTTGCCCACTTCCATCCCCTTTCCCATCACAAAGCAAATGAGTTATCCTTTAAACTCACTGATACAATTTGCTTTGGTAATTTCACTTAGTAACTCATTCCATACATTCACTACTGACTGTGGATTAGGATCATGTTTGGAATTCTCTACTTTGTGCTTAATTTCCAGTGTTTCCCAGTGTCTACTCTAGATAATATCCTCCTCTCTGGAAGCTCCTAGGTAAAGAGTTCATTCCACATTACCAAACTCCTTTCATAACCACAAATGGCAGCTTTTCTGTGCCAAGGCAAAATGGAGCACACAGTGGAAAGAGATAGTGAGCAACAGTGACATCACAAATCACCTTTCAATACATGTGCTCTAGATTCAAGCTCTTCCCAGGAGTCTTGGGTCCAGCTTGACTACTTCCACCCCAGTCATGGACTCTGTCCACATACCATGGTACAAGGACTAGAGAGGGAGGTGAGGCTGCAAAACAGACCCTGCTCTGGGTGGATGGTTTCCTAGTAATCCAGTGTGACAGCTGGCTTTGCCAATTTTCTCCATGTGTCAGGCTTGAGAAGGTTTTTTGTGCTTGGTAAGATGTTATGATAATCTTGCTAGTACTGTGTGCCATAAGCTATATGAATTATGAATAGAGTGAAACCTGTCCTAAGCACTGCTTTAACAACTGACAAAAATGGTGGCTTAATGAAATTGGTCTTCTAACAAAAGGTGGAACAGAAATGATGTTAGTGTAGTTTGGTATGCACTTTGGGGTGACCTCTTTAGACAGGCCTAATAAGGAGAGCCTTAGCTACAGGTTTCACAGTGGTAATGTGACATTATGGGTCTGCTCTGACTGAATGGCAGAAAAGATCTTTTCTGCTGTATTGCCAAGATGTGGAGGGATCCTGCATCTCTATGTAACTAGAACCCTTTTGCCCCCTTGAATTCCAACTGTTCTGATTTGTTTCCTTTCCCTGTGCCAGCATATCCTGTTTACTAAAGGAAACTGCCTGGGTTAATAGCTTACTGGATTTTCCCATACAGAAAACCAGATCATATATTCTTCAATCAGGCATAAATTCCTAGTTGCCTGAATAACCACCTGAAGGCTTTTCCTGGGAAGCCCATGACTTGTCTGATTCATTTGCCTGGCACTCCTAATTTTGACACATTCTATCAGAAATTTCTGATATCTGACATCATTTATGCCTCTGCTATTGTTATGTGTGTTGTAGTAGCACTGAAATGCCGACTGAGCTCAAAACCTTATAGAGATACGTTCTAGTCGCTCCGATAATAATAGCCAGTTCATGTCCTGAAGACCATACCACCAAAATTGACAAGAGAAAAGAAAAGATAGGACAAGCAATCATAACCCTTATTTTATAGATGGGGAAATGAGGCCTAGAGAAATTGAGTGAGTTGTTCAAAGGTACATAGGGAGCCTCCATTAATTAATTTCACTAAAGACACTGCATTTGCTTGAAATAGACATATGCTAAGTACCCTGCTGAATCATGGCTAAGACTGGATTTTCCCTGTGTTGTTTTTGGACATTTAACCCTTACATTTCCACAGAGGTGAATTGACGCTAATGTCCCAGTTCGAAACAGCTCCAATGTTTGCAGTTTGGCCTCAATTTTGTGACTGATTTTTAAATCATTTCTATTTGCTAGGAAGTGTTTCCAGTTTTCAGCTATGCCCTACACTGCAAAAGATTTGTTCTCATTATTTCCAGGACTCCAAAGTTTTGGGTAACAAAATTGATACTCTACATAAAAATTTCTCATTTTAGCACACTTAAAGCCTATACATAGAACTGTAGGCGAGTCAGGCCCCAAGGTGACCCAAGGGGTCTCCATTTTATGCCTGCTGTCCTATAGAACAGGGCTGGCCAATTTCTAATGCCCTCAGCTACATATCACATGGACTTTGCACCCCTGGCTTCATATCATTTGGGCCACATACCATGTCATGCAAGCCCTGCCCCCTATACTACATGGCCACTGATACTCCATGTGAACCCCTCTTCCCACCACTGCACAGGTCCCAACTTGCCACACAAGCCACCTCCTCCTCCCCACACCGCACCACACAAGTCCCAGTGTTGGGACATGCCTCACCATACAGGCCCCTTACAGCAACTCATGACATGGTCCTGCCACATGGCTCCCCTATCCCCCACCCCACTCCACTGCATGCATCAGCACCCACTGCCCTGCACCAGCAGAGATCCCATGCTGGGTCCCTGGGGCCTGCAGAGCTTTCCAGCCATGAGCTCCTTCAGTTCCATGGGCTGCACTGCTCCAGCACTCCCCCAGGGCTGGGGACAGGCAGCAGAAGCTGGAGGAGAGAGGGAGCGCAAGAAATCTGTTGGCAGGGGCAAGAAAGCAAAGCAGGAGGTGGCATCTGGACTAGGATGCCACTTCCAGCTTCTTACCCCAAGGGCATAGGACAAGGAAGAAGTCTCTTTTATCACAGAAACAAGAGTTTGCTGAAATGCAAAATCCTGTTAGTTACACACACACACACACACACACACACACACACACTATGTTGATTTAAGAGAGAGAGGGCCATTTGTGCCTACCTGTTGGTGTTATACTCCAAACCCCCAACCTCCTTGCTTGCCTGCAACAGATCTAGAATTCCTGCAGAACTTCCGCTCTCTTTCTTTACTTTGGAGTTGCGGCCTGGCTTTGCCTCTGTGTCAATGTGAAGTGAATCTTCATCAGAGGAGTCATCACTCTGCAAAATCAAGAAGTCTCAGAAAAGCAAAAGAAGATACCAGCCTGTTTTTGTAGCATGCTGCTGCTCTTTTCATCCCAAAAAGGCCTAGGGCAAAGAGGTTCTCCCTACAGGTTGTTTTGTTTTCAGGGTCATATTAATGTTACTGAAAGAGTGCCAGGCAGTCCCAGAGCCAGATGCTCCCTATTCATCAACAGCCCAGACAGCAACATGGGCTTTTGGTCACTTGCCTATGTATCCCAATCTGGTTCTGAGTGAATCCCCATCAGACCAAAAAAGTGTAGAGTTTCCAGGTTCACCCAAACTTTGGCATCACTACTGAGACCACCAGGGATGGGTCCCAGTTATAGCTAACTGGTTCTGTATTATGGACTTCTGTCCTCCACTAACTACACTGAGACCATCAGCTCATTTCATACCATGCACGCATCAGATGGCAGCAACTGCCCACAGCTGAGTCACTGCTTTACCCAATAACCTAAGGAAGAGAAGCTCCTGAAATATCCTTGAACCATCATTGTTGCAGTGTTTCAGACTGTGTAGCTTGCATGCTTATTGTCCCAAATTCAGCAAAAAGGTTTAAGTGCTTACTTAACTTCAGGTGTATCCTTAAGTGCTATCCCACCAAAGGAGGGAATTAGACTCATGTGTTAAACAGCTTTCCTGAATGAAGACTAGACAAGTCCCACTGAAATCAAATGTTTGAAGTTAGACATATGCTTCAGTGTCTTGCCAAATCAGGAGTATTACAGGTGTGAGACAACAAGGAAATGCGGTTCCCCATACATGCTAGTAAATAAAGGCTTTAATTTCCACATAATGGTATTGTTGGCTTCCTGTAATATACACCAGCAAATGCTAATCAGCTGTTAAAGTTACTTTGAAATGAAAGTGTTGCAAAGTCCTATATGGAAAATGATTAATGGCAACCAGTGCTCAAAGAAAATGAGAGACTGGGGGAGCGTGTTTACAGTCACTGGCCATGACAGCACACGAGAAACACAGCCCAGGACAAAGCAGGAGAATACTATCTGGGTTAGAACGCTCTCGCTATCCTTCACACAAGGAAAATAATCTTAATGTCCAGTCTCCTACTTACTTTGCTGTTACATGCCATTCAATTCCAGTCTTCCTTATTTTTTATGTTTACTTACTTCACCGCAGAAGAAAAGTGGCAACGTTCTGTTCCTGTACTACTGCTTCCCCTTCACTTCTTTCTTTCCTTCCCTCCCAACCAAATCCTGCTCTAATTGTTCACAATGTCCAGCCCCTAATATGTAGGTACCATCTGGCTAAGGAGAGATGGAAAGGACATTGTTTGGAGCCCACTAGTGCTGCTCTTTAATTGTCCAGTGGGAAAGCTGAGTGACTAAGCAAGCTTCTGGCACGGCTGTGTCAATCCTTAATGGGACACCAGATGTCCAATGCTCCACAGGGAAGTCAGCGAGCGTCCACAGGTGCCATGTGGTAAGAGAACTGGGCTACAGGAAGCAGAAAAGAATGTTCTAGGGATACAATTCTGTCAGTACAATTTATGAAGTCAAGCCACAACAGTCTTTAAATACCTGAAGGACAATTACAGAGGATGGAGATGACCTTTTTTCCATAAGCACAGAGGACAGGACAAGGAGCAATGGAGCCTCAAGCTTCAGCTGGGGAAATTTACACTGGAGACAGGAGGACCTTTCTAACTGTAAGGGTTAGAAAGGTTCTAACTGTGAGCATTAGCACAGGCTACCTAGAGAAATTGTGGAATCTCCAGCCCTGACAATTTTCAAGAGCAGGTGAGACAGGGACTTGGTTGGGATGGTTTAGTCAGGGATACTCCTGCCTTGAGCAGCAGGCTAGACTAGATGACTTCATACAGTCCCTTCCAGCCCTACTTTTCTATGATCTTATGAAACTCAGAATATTTGAATGCAACCCAGAGTAGACCTGACAAGTCATCTCTAATTAGCAGACTAGAAAGAAGTTATATAGATGTGAATGAAATGCCAAGTCTTTACCTAATTATGAGGTGAATTCTCGTTTACACTGAACCCCTTTTATGAAACTCTTGCTGTGTGAAGGCCCAATGTATGAAGGCATAAATGTAAGCACAATTTCAACAAGACCTACTGCATACATGAAATTAAGCATGGACTTAAATAGGCATTCGGCACCTTACATAATTAAGTCCTCAATATACTTCTCGATGGATGTGTCTACACATCACCATACGGCAATGTTGCTGTGCTAAAGCATCGCGCAATAACTGCCCATACTGTGCCATGTGCACAGTGTACAATTAGATGTCACTGCTATTTTGCCATAGTGGCATGTTAAAACAGGGGAGCACGTTGCTACAGCAAAGTAGCTACTGATCACATGTAGATTCACGTGACTGCTACATCACTGTAGCACACCATACGGTGATGCACCGTGTCACTACAGTGACATAGGGTGACGTGTAGATGTGCCCAATTAATATAAAGTCACTCAGACAGGATGGGATAGCTACAATAATAATAAAATACCTTATATGATACCGATTCCACCTTTGGCTTTTTAATTGGTGTGTGTTGTAGAGTTTCTTTCTTATCTGATAAAACTAAAAATAAAAAGAATTACAGGTGAGATTGACCATTCATTTACCAGAGAAACAGCATGTATAGCATGTAAGGTAGAATAAAGTTTAAATCCACTGTACTTGTTTTAAATGTGATAGTGCAAATAAAGAAGGCCACAATCTTTATTGTGAAACATAATATAATGTTAAATGCATTTTTGAAAAATAAGATTTAATCACACAGATGCAGACAAAATAGAAGAAACTCTTACAGGGCAAATCTCTTTTTGTAGTGTTTTTCTTCCTTCTAATTGGAAACTCATCAATTTTCAGTTCACCATCATCTGACACATACTCATATTCATCACGCACAGGTTTTGTTTTATCTTCTTTGAAATTTTGGAGAGACCCAAACACAGTAGTATTCAACTGGGTTTTGACTCCCTTGGACCTACTTGGAAAAATGTTATAAACACAATTTTACACAGAGAAAGGTACTAATCATAGCATATTTCTTATTAATGTAGAATGATTTACAAAATGAATGATTTACAAAAACTTTACAGTAACTACACATCAGAGTAATTCTCTGGATTTCAAGTATGTGTAATGATGACAAACAGTATGGCATATGCCTCATACAATGTACATTGCCATATTTTTACTCACCCAAGCAGTTTTTTGTTAGCAAAAGAAAATGTAAATTTATTGTCCTTATTTCCTGATAAAGGTGTCTTTTCCAATTTGTGTTCCTCTTCCATTTTTAGTAATGAATCAGGTTTACTGTTCTGAAAAGCATGAAAGGAGCAACAACATTCAGTTAATAAGTTAATGACGTTTTCAGACTTCTAATCACAATGTGGTATTTATTATCAAATAATAAGGATCCATGGAACATACATATGCAGATATAACAGACACTAGACTAGACAGACAGTCGGCTCCTCACCTCAGTTACACACTGGCCACGGCTACAAGAGACACTGACTGCACAAGCCACCAAACGGCTTTGTGACCCTTACCATGCAATAGCATCACATCACAGTTTCTGCCACGCAACACTACTGCGCAGTATTCTCAGGCTACTGCGCAGTCAGCATCTTGTGTGGATGTGGCCACTGAATTGGGAAAGCCTCCCTGTTCAGGAGAACACATCAGCATATATTTAACAGCCCCATTCTCATTGAGGCCTGAGTATTACATCAATGAGAACAGAGCTAGGTCTACAATCATTTTTCTGACTGAAAATCATTTTGTTGGCACCTGTAATTTTGGACCTGATACTCCATTTATTTACATTCACATAAAGCATGAGTAATTTCCGGGATGCTATGCGGAGACTGGGTCCTATACTTGCACACTGTTCCTGCTATGCTCTGTTTTTACGTACATTGTTCTCCAACTCCTACTTTTTACCTTTATTGTCCTCCTGCTGCCATGCAACACAAGTTTACAACAGAGCTTACCTTATATTTCCACTTGGCTTCTGTTTTGGTCTTATTCTGCTCTCGAATTTCAAATTTCTCCACCTCGTTTTGTTTATTAACAGTTTCCTTATTAGGAACATTTAAAACGTTCTTTGCAGCCTGTAAAATATTCAGTGGGTTCTTTTAAACTGAACAGAGTTTGTGCCATGTCTTCATCACTTCTACTTTATATTTGCATTATCTGGCAGTGTGAGACATTTTGTAAAATATTTCTGACATTGATTCTTTTTATCACAAAAGCCTAGATTCCATCAAAAATAATGCTTTTAGAGACAAAACTAATTTTATTTTTCCTTGATAGATTACCAAGGTCAGTATAAATATGCTGATCTCCCTGCCTGCTGCTTTATTGACGGGTTTTACAGACTCATACAAGTCACTAACTAATGCATAAGCATGCTAAGAAGCCTTAATATTACTTCTTATAGAACCAAATCAATTTGCTTTTAATGCCATTGCTTCTTAGATGCGGGTGAAATACTGGCCACTCTGAAAACACCCTCTAAAATTCACTGAGGCCACAACTTCATTCAGCTTTTTTTTTTCTTTTCATTTCTTTAATATAGCACCAACTAACTGGGTAAAAATGAAATACGTTCATACTTCATCATTTTAATCATTCTAAAGAAACAATCTTCCTGAAAATAAGATGACTTTGTGGGATTAATCCATTTGTCTGGTCTATGATGACTTATAAGGTAATACACATGTCAAAATGCTAAAAACGTCGTAGACTACAGGGAACCAAAGGTCAGTAAAAGAAAATGCTCGTTATTTTCACCTTACCTTTCTTCTGGGAAGGAAATGGCAGCGACTTGTCAGATTTAATCAGAAGGGGTCTTTTTTGGGATGGGGGGCAGGGGAGGTTTTGGGGGTTTTTTTTTAGAGGCCATGAATTAAAAGCAAAACCGTCTAATCTAATTTAAAATGGGTAAGAAGTCAGTACAACTACGGAGCTCCCATTTAATGTTGCTGGAGCCAGGATTTCACCCAAAGTGGTTTTCTTTCTCCAGCATGAGGCATCTGAACATATGTTATGTTTTAATCCATGGTCCGGTAAATTAACTGAGAATAGCCATAACACCTGGACATACCTTCCCCTTCTTTGGCGTTTCAATCTTTGTTAGAGCCTCTTTTGTGTGCGCCTCCAGCAGATCAAGATTTGGAATGGCCGGTGGTGGGCTTTCCTTTGCCTTCTTTCCTTTTTTCTTTCCTTCTCCTTTGACCTTTGGAGTTTTAGGTGGCTTAGGGTGTTTGGGCGGCTTGGGCACCTTGGGTGGCTTGGGCGTTTTCACATTTTTTGGAGTCTTTTTTTTAGGGACTTTTTCTGTGGGGGGTGGAGGGGTTGCTACTTGTATGGGAGATGGTGTTTCCTCTTTCTCCACAGGACAGACTTCCTCTACGTTCACATTGGCACTCGCTTCTGTTTTGTTGGCTTTAGAGGCATTCTGTATTTTGGCACAAAGAAACATACTCAGTCCCCACTTTCATGCAGTTAGTTTTTCTGAACCCTCTTCCCTTCTTTCTTTCCTTGTAGGAAATAAAATTCAAACATCTTTCTTTTATATGTGGGGGTACTGGGTACGTATGCAAGTACCCAGGGCAAGAAAGTAAGGGCATTCCAACGTACTGGAATTACATTCTACTTGCCTAAAATCCTCCCTTTCCGTCATTCATGATGCCAGAGTGGCCAGAACACTTAAAGAAGTGATATTGGACTGTAATGAGCATAACTCACATTGGGCAGGATTCTCAATAGTTTACTGGACTGCTGTTCTTATTTAAATTAGGATAGTGTCTAGGAGTGTTATCCATAGACAAGGAGCCATTTCAAAAGGCACTATAAAACCCCTGTTGGCAGTCTGCACTGTACTCAAGATGTGCTTGCTGTATGTTTAGATATAGCTGAACTAGCTTCAAATCAGACAGCTGAGATACTGGAAGCTGTGTAGCTGCGGCAGGGGTATGTACTTAGTGGCTGAAGCCTATAATGCGACCACAGCAACACTGCTATTGGCAGTCAAGCAAGCTAGCTTAAATCTGTGGACTGTGGCACATACTCACCTTAACTGAGTGCTGTCTTAATTGTGCCACTATTAAAGTTTTTCCAAGGACTCCAAAAAAAGGGAAATTAAGCTACTGTTGAGCACTTCTGAAAATCCCACTCTCTCTCTCTCTCTCTCTCTCTCTCTCAGAGTCACTGAAAGCCTGCACAGACTAAAGTTTGCAGCTGCTTTTCTCTTTACCAGGGACCTCACTGATGCTCACTGGTAATAGGAACAGTTCAAAGCTAAAACTACATAAGCCCAATTTATTTTAACAGTGATGGCAATTAACCACAGAAACAAAAGTGGTAGCAGATTCTTCATCACTGGAAATTTTGAAAATTAATTCAAGGAAGTTCAGTGGACAGTGTTCTCCAAAGGCCCCACTACATGTTCAAGTTAAAGCTGCTTAGAAACTAGCTATGGAGTTGTTACATATTTTCAAGCACTAATTTTATAGCTTGTTGGCTCTTTTGATAGCTGGATAGTGATTTTTATTGTGTGATAATTACTTTGCATGTGTGGCTGGTCTAAATTTATTGCATGATTAACCAGTTAATTGCATAATATATGTAATGTGTAGCAGGGGCCCAGGAATGAGCTCAGGCAAATGCTCACAGTCATCCCTTTGGCCTTATAAACAATCTATAAGGAAAAGGAACCTTTTGGGGGGAAAAATAGCTTTATAAACGTCCCTTTAAAAAAGCTACCTTTTGCACCACCCCAAGGACGTATGCAAAGCTATCCCCGTCCAGACTACATAATTGTACTCACTATCATAACCATTTGTATGTAAAACTACCTTTGATGTCCTAATATAATGGTAGTCGCCTACACATAAAAAGAAATAGTCAAACAAGAGCCATAGTTTCATAAACAGAGAGGTTGTTTATGTATCTTGAGAATAAATATTAATTACCTATGTTTTAAATATTAGAGCCCTTGTATTTACTCAATTTGGCTCTGGATTTTTTTTCTGTAGAAAACCCATAAGGAAATGCATATGATTTTAATAGTCTTTTGTTTAAAATGTTAATCAGATATAAAAGAGTACATTTCAAATTAATTCAGATGTGATGAAGGCAGTAGTTTTATATCTTGTTTCACACCCCAAGGTAACACGAGCAGTAAAAAAAGATGAGCAATTAAAATGAATGGTGTTTGACTAATTAAAAAGAAAGTATTTTCTCTTTAAATTGCTATCCAGATAATCAGAAAAAATACATATATGCTATATCAAATACATAAAAGAAAATATATTCCAATGTCAATGCCACAGGTTGAGAGAAGAAAAGAAATAAAATAAAAAGTATATGTCTGTCCCCATACACACTGAACAGAGTTATAGTACATCCATCCATAAACATATAGGACTATATAGCACTTACTTGGTCTGAAGCAGAACTATGATCAGTATCATGTGTGAAGAGAATACTTTATATTTGGGCCATGGAACCATAGATCCAGATGCCACATCATTATTATGACATTAATCATGCTAGTAGTGCCTAAGAACCAACTGAGAATTGCACCCATTGTGCTAGGTGCTGCATGGGCACTATCCCTGTCTCAGAAGAGAACTTGCAATACAACGAGAACATTGGAGTTTTTTGGTGGGCAGGAGTCAGCTTGCTAACAGAAAGGGAAGGAGGAGCGGGGGGAGGTGGGAAGAGAAGGAGAAAAGGAGTTGTGGCTGTGAGGTAAGGCTGAGGACTGAGAGAGGGAGGGAGTACAGTAAAGGAGCAGACAAGGGAGAGACTGCCTTCACAACAACCCTGTTGTAAATCTCACATTCATGTTTCTTATAGGAATGCAGTATTTATTTCAATAAACCTGCATTTTATGGCACGTTATGAAAAATGCATGATATAGTTAATGTTATGGAAAGAGCACAAACCTCACTTAATCTTATTTCTTTGGCAAGGTCCTTGATAAGTTGTGCTGGTTTAAAATTCTCTGGGAGTTCATCTTCATGGTCTACTAGTGCCTAGAACAGAACAAAAGTCTGATAATGACTTGAAAATAACATTATTTCCAAATTATGAAAAGACTCGTCAGCTGACCCATCAATGTTTTTCTAAGTGCACAAATCTAGTAACACAAACATCATTAGGTAATTCTTTTCAGATAAAACAAATAATGTTTTTAGCCCAAAATCAATTACAAAATTACAAAATCAATAGTTCTTTTCGGTTATTAACATGTGATTTTGCAACTGTAATATCTCCTTGCTTTCCTGTTTTTGTGCTTTCCTTTGCTAAGTTTGTTTCCTTCACTGAGGTAAACAGGAAAAGACCATCTAAGAAGAGCTTCTTAATTGTGAATTAATTGTGAGAAGAGCTTCTGAATTGTGACAGAGGAGAGAACTTCCAAACCAATATGCTCTTCGTAACACAATGATGTAGTTACTACAAAATCCAGAAGACGCTGACTGCAGGACATCAAGAACCAAACTTTCAATTCAACCTTAAGTGGCTCTCTCTAGCTGTAGGCACATCACAGTCAGGCTCCTCATCAATCCAAGTGAGACATCTATCTGATCTGATCGTACATGGCAAAACCGTCCTCAGTTGCTTTTGCTCTACCAAAACTAGAAGCCTATGTTGAAATTCCAAATTTATAAATCCATACAGCGTAGTTCTGAAACTGCGACTCTACAGGTATGCCATGATGTGCTTGAAAATCCAGCAGCTAGTCTTAAGAAACATTTAGCAGGCATATCAATACTGTGTGTAAACAATTATGAAATGATCATATATTTGGTTCCGTTACTAAATAGTTCATAAAGGACAGATAAATTATTAACTGATGTTTTAATAAATTATTAATCATTTGTTATAGATGCAAAAGGATACTTGCAAATGTAGCTTAAAACCATCTGGAACATTTTTACTGATGTGCCTATAACCACCTATAAAATATATTACTCTTTTTGTAGCATGCTTGTAATACTGATTAATCATTTATTAGCCCATTATGAAATATTCAGAAACTGAAACTTTTGAAGAAATATGACACATAGCTCATAACAGAATTTTAATGATAACACCTATATAAAAAACAGCACAGGTGGATGATAGTGCCCATTTCTGACTACAATTCTTATTACTTTTCTGAGTTTGGATTTAACAAAATAATATTTTTTTTAAAAGCTTACTTGAGCTAGAAATAGCAACAAGCTGTCTCTCCATTTCCTTTTCTTATTTGTATCCCTCTAAGGGTGTGGACACATGTACATTTGGAGTCATTTCAAAAGGGGAATGTTTCAAAAGGGGAACAGCTGGTAGGTTCTAATTATCAAGTACAAAAGCTGAGAATGACACAAATGTAGGAAAACACAAAAAGCTAGTAAAATATAGCATGAAGTAGGGTTAAATTTGGAGTAGTTTTGCTATGTTTGTATTATTTTCAGCTCCTTCAGACATAATAATTAGAACCTAAGGGCTGCTGCCCTTTTGAAGTGTTCTGCTTCTACAACAGTTCCAAATGTACATGTGCCCACATCCCATTTAATCTTTACTGATACCACCCTGATGTGCTCAGACCTTCTAGCTGATAGCAGAGGAGTCCCCTGCCCCAAGAAGCATCCACCAGTTGTGACAACCTCCTCAGGAAGGCAAGGCTATTTGTGGGTGATATCTTTTATTGGACCAACTGAATGGTTAGGATAGACTTAGAAAGATTTTGAATGCAATGCATTCTTCTTTAGAAAAGGTTCAAAATCCTTGCCTCTCACTTATTTCCTAGACTAGCATAGTTACAACATCAGTTCCTCAGGAAGGGTAATTTTGTAGAAGGCCCTTTGGAAACATTTTTAACTTCAGCCCAAATCTCCATAGTGCCTCTGAGTACTACATGCTCACATTACCTCTGTCTCACTCAAGTCTATAGTGTGGCAAATACTGTTTTAGAATAGGAATTAAAGGTATCATGCTAGATCCTAAGCTGGTGTAAATTAGTACAGTACCACTGACTGTAGCAGAACTGCCCAAATGATACCAAGTGAAGAGATGTCTTTTCCATATCAAAATATTTCTGACAGTAACCAGAATCATCGTATCCAGCCAAAAAAAGAAGCACACAATAAGAAATCCAGCTAATTAAATGAAAACAGTGATTGACCAGATCATTCACCCAGGGTTCCCCTTTAGAAAGGTTGCTGGCTGGGAACTGCATGGTTCAAGGGGTGGGTAATGGGATGCAGTGCTGTCACTGGTCTGAATTTACCCCAAGTAAGTTGTTAAAGTTTTTCCTGTGTAACAGTCTTCAATTACCTGAAAGGTAGTTATAAAGAAGATGGTGATAAACTATTCTCTATGGGTGCAGCGAATGGACAAGGAGTAACACTCTTAAACTGCAGCAAAGGAAAATTAGTTTGGAGATAAGGAAGAATCACTATGAGGGTGGTCAAGCATTGGAACAGGCTACCTCGAGAGGTAGTGAAATCTCCATCCTTAGAATTTTTTAAGAGCAGGTCAGGCAAACGCTTGCCTGGAACGGTTTAGACAGGGATGATCCTGCCTTGAGCGTGGGGGCTGGACTAAATGACCTCCTAAGATCCCCTCCAGCCCTATTTTTCCATGATTTTCTGATTCTATGACACCCATTGGATGACCTATTTGCAAGGACCAGTGGCTTATCTACACATTTTTGTGTACAGAATTGCATGCCTGACTTTTCTGAAAAATCAAGCCATGGACAGGCATGTGTTTCAAGCACTCTGAATTTGGAGCACTTCTGTGTGCACCCCCCATCAAACTCTCCTGCCAGAGTGCTTCAAACTCACTACAAAGCATGCAGCAGTGGTGCCCTCCAATCTGGGGTCATCTTCAGAAGACTGGCAGCCATGTGGCATGCAGGGATTCCTGTTGCTAGATAGCTAAAGAAGAGGACTCCTTGCAGCCCCTTGGCTTCTAGAGGCTCCTGAGGACAGCCAAGTGCACAGGAGAGCAGACCCATGGGGTAGTGAGCAATGCACTGTGGGATGCCAAGGAGTGAACAATACCCTGCCATGCTCTATGGAGATACAGTAATTGGAGAAAGCACTTCAAAAGGAAGTGATCTGAAGATGCTTCTCATTTTCTGAGGATAAGCCTTGAAGCACTACAGCCATTTGTGAAGCACTTCTTCAGCCATGCATATCTGTAAGCTCGCCCTATACAGCACTTCAAATCCAGCAGTAGAATTACGGGTGGGCAAGTAGGGCAGCAGTGCCAGAATGACAGCCCCAGGGAGCCTGCAGCACAACAGCAGCAGCCCGTGTTCTAGGAGCTTGCACCAAGGCAGCAGCATCCCATACCACCATACAGCAGCAGTCCTTTGCACAGAGGTCAGTGCTTGGCACCCAACCTCTGTCCAGGCTGCCAAAATTTGCAGCTATACCTGTGTTCAAACTAGGGTTGACAAGCCATTCAATCAACCAGTCAAATACCATCAATTGATGAGTCAATTGCATACATATTTTTTAACCGGTCAAAGATTATAGCAATTTTACAAAAACACTACTTTTTTGTGGTTTTCTTGAAATAAATATGACTTTTAATGCTTTTTGACACATTTCTTAATGGAAAATTTGTGCTTTTTCTGTGTATTATTCAGACCTATTGGTAATTTTTGGTTGATATTTGACCAGTAAATTGACCAAGGTTTATTTGACTGGTCAAATACCCAGCCCTAATTTAAACATTACATCTGTCCAGGGACTCAGGAAGCAAATAATTTTTCTACCAGTCATTCCACTAACAGGTCCCTCTCCTCTGGGAATCTAGGATTCTTGATTTTTGCTACATTGATACATTATTCCTCTTCTGTCTTGCTCTTTTGCTCTTGCTAGTTCACAAGCCAATGGTACAGAACACTAAAACAAGACCTTTTCCTACCTGCTTTTTAGTCCATGACCTGAAAGCACCATTGAGAATTTTTGCCCCTTGGAGCAAATGAGGAGGAGGCTGCTGCCCAGCTTTGTGCAAACCTAAACAAAAGGAAGATAAGATGGCATTCAAGAGTGGCCAGCAATTCTCTGTTCAATACTTGTTTGGTTGGTTTTTTGGTTGGTTTTTTTTTAAACCTAACTGTGATTGTTTGGATCTTGTAAGACGTATAGAGTGGAAACCAAACCAGTCACAGCTACAACTTCTATAGTAATAGGGAGTGTATTTACTGCACCATAAAATACATTCAACCTGTCCCGACACTGTTCTGTTCTTATAAGGTATGCGTACACTGGAATTTATGGCTGAAGTCAGTGAGTCAGTTGTCATTTAGTTTGAATTAGCTCCCATATTTGTACATGCTAGGCTTCACACTACACAAACATTGGTTCTAGGACCCAAACATCCATATTGCACCCTAGAGCTCTTTTTTACTTCAGTGGGCTTTAAATTAGACCCTTCCCTTGGATATATTTGACAATCTCTTTAATTTCTGCTACAATAAAATAAAATTGTTCACAGTTCTAGCTGCTCTGAAAACAATGTTTGGTATCTAAAACACTCTATTCAAAGGTTTGCCACTGATCAGATACTGATCCTATGACATACTGCTTATACCAGACAAACAATCCTACTTTTCTTTGAGAAAAGGGTTCCCAATGGCTTTGCTTGTTAGTTTTGCTCATAGTGAATTCACAAGGTCTCCTCCCTTTCTTTGAAGTCTCAGGAATCTTTACTCTTCTTTCACTACAGCCATTTATTTTATTTGTTTTAAAAAATGTGTTTTTTCTCTCTCTGGACAGATATTATGATGCTCCTAAGGCAAAAGCAAAATGCTTGCAGTATATCAAATGAATATGTAAATACAATGCATGTGTGAATGAATGGATGGACTAATTTTCAAGAAGTACAAGTTAAGAACTTACACTCCCCAGAAAACTTTTAGTGCCAATGTAGGCTATATACTTGACATTAGGAAAGGACCAGGTTATGCTTTCCTTTTAACCATGTTACTTTTTATTTTGCAAGGGTAAATGGTCCTATACTCAAATCAACATACTACTCGAGAAACAAGGCTCTGTGTATAAAAGGGTCTGCAAAATTGGTTGGAAATTGGAGAGCACATAGGACACAAGTGCAAATTTGGTACATTGTGGAAAAACTATATTACCTGTCTTCATAGGCCATGAGTGTCAGAGATTTGGCTCCAACATTCATGGCCTATGAAGCAATCCAAGTACATTTTCTAGTGTGGATGAGGCCTCAACTCTGTCTTGTCTGCAGCTCTATTATTATGGTCCTTTCTATAGACAAAAGACAAAGGCACTTTGCACTGATACAGAGGAGCCCTTCTATCAGAAGAATATGTCTTGACTAAGTTGTATCAGTAGGAGAGAGAGGTTTAGAGAACAAGTACTTTCCAAATTTATCTGGGTGTTTTATTACCAGCTGAGCACAATTCTCTGTACCTTTGGTTGATACCTTGGACAAACCTCAAAAGACTTGAGTCTACTAACACTAGTGGTTTTGGCCATTGTCCACCTTTTGTCTTGCACATCAACAGAAAATAGTAGTAACACTATTCTCACACAACCACAGCTGAGTAAACAAAGAGTGCATGAAACATTGTTCTACCTTTGAACGTCTCTAGCAGATGCTTCCCCATATACCAACAAGCAGTTTCATAGTTTGGAAACTGGGTTAGGCTGACAATTTTCAACCGCCTTTCTACTTCATACGCTCTGTGACACAAAGCAAAAATACACTTTAAATGTAATGGATCACAAGCATTATTACCCAGTGAAAAGCATTGCTTATCAATATGCTGGAATGAAAATGTCTGATGGCTTTATCCCCCAGAGAAGTGTTAAAAAATAAAGAGAAATATTAAATTAAGCACAGAAAGTGGTCTTACTGCACTATTTGTCAGACCTCAATAAAGAACTGTTTCTATTACTTTGCAAGTTTCTATTACTTTGTAAGGAGTCCAGGGAGGCAAAGAGAGGGCAATATTCAGAAGGATGGATAGCATAAGGTAACATTCCACCAATTTTCAACATAAATCTGCTGCTGCTGCTATAACGTGGGAAGTAAAAGAACTCAAGCAAACTTACACATGATTAGAATCTGTATAAGCTACTTCTAACTGCATCAGTTCAGGGTGTTCTCAGTTCAGGGTGTTTAAAAAGGGGCCAGACTTACACATGCCTTTTGAATTAGGCCTTTAAAGTATAATAATATAATAATATAATTACTAAATATTGTTGCTAATTTCTATGAGAAATATGGCAAATGCATGGTCTTTTGAACCCACAAAGGAAATATAAATTCTTTAGAGCTAAAACTGGGCCTCAGCCAAAACTTCAGATCCCAACACAACAATTCTGCCCCCCGAATAACACATCAAGCCAGAAACAAAATGTAGCTAAAAATTTCAGACAAAACTAAAAATACAGGTGAACGCACCTCATCTGCATTTCAACACTTAAGCTATGTAGAAAATGTCCTGCAAATGCTAGGCAGTCTACAGGTGTTAGAGTTGCATAAATCCAACCTGTAAGACAGAGAAAGGAGACTCTGGTGAATAAAAGCAGGAACTATGATTGTGAGTAATTTATGAGAAGAGAGAGCTAGTTAGCCATGTTAATCTGAAGTCAAGCAGAAGGCAGGGTAGATATGCACCGTATAAATGTGTGTGTGTGTAAAATACTTTAAGTATTATACACTTTATATTATACACTGATCTATGCTGTCCTTTCACCGCATCTGATGAAGTATGCTTGGGCTCAGAAAAGCTTATGCTATACACACACACACACACACACACACACACACACAGAGATATATCAATATATATACACACACTATAGTATATATGTAGTCTATATATATATATACACACACACTATACACACACACACACACACACACACGTGTGTGTGTGTGTGTGTGTGTGTGTGTGTGATTTAGTTTGTCTATAAGGTGCATATCTACCCTGTCCTCTGAGTGAGTACATCCTGGCTGCATTCCCATGGCTTCTTACTTTTTGTATTGCCATCTAGGTCCAATTCAGCCCTAGGGTCAGGAACATCTTCTCTGTTAGAGCAAATATACTTAAAATAAGGTTGAATTTTGTCCTACTGCATATTAAATAAAAAAGAACCTGACTGTGTAAAGTGTTGAGAACTTCAGCTCCCATGGGAAGCCAACTTCAAGTGTGGTGAGATGAAGGTGTATGTAGAAGAAGAGATTGTATGTGTATTGTTGTTCATAGTGCTGCTATTTAACTGTTGTTACTCTGCAAAGCTGCAGTAGCAACAGTGAGAACTCATTTCATGCTGCTTCCCCACCATCGTAAAAACTTTTAGTGCTGGTTATCTAGTGATACTGGCTTTACCGTAGCACTAGGAACAGGTGTTTTCCAAATACTTATTTTCATACAGAAATCTACTCCCGCATGAGCCCCCTCACAAATTAGCAAATCTCTATTAATTGTTCAGTGTTTACTCAACCATCTGTTTCACATATGGTCATGAGAAAAACACCCACTTCGTACTATTTATGGTCAAAGTAAAATTCAAGTGGGTAATGAATTCAGCATCAGAATGCAAAGGCAGACCCCAATAGGGCACAGCTCCTGCAGGTGCAGCCTGGACAGTATGAATATCAGGATGAACATTACTAATATCTACTTATATTAACATCCAGTTTGCACTTGCCTATGCCACATATTGTATAAATTCACAGAGAGTGGTAACTCCTACCCCAACAAGTTAACAATCTAAATAGGCGGGAAACAGAGCCATAAAGAAGGGAAATGACTTGCCCAACATCACAGGAAGGTCAGTAAAACAGCAAATTCCAGTTCTCCTGAAACCCAATGCAGTGTCCTATCCACTGGACTAAACCATGGCTGTCCAACTTCCAGGGGACTGAGGGGCCACATGCCCTGTGGGCCATACCAATGAGGGCCACATGCCAGGCCGGCCATACCAGGATGAGACACAGGCTCCCAGGTCACATGGATGCCCCTGCTGCTGTACCACACAACTATGTGGTCACAGCCCCCCACCCCATTGCTGCACCATGTGTCCACATGGCCCTGGCTCACCCTCCATTCTCCATACTGCAGATTGCACGTCCCTCCCCCTACCCTGGGGTGGGGACAGGAAGAGGCAACAGGGGGAAAGAGCTGTTGCAGCTGGTGATGAGGAAGCGGCAGCCAAGCAGGAGCCTGAGAGCTGCAACTTAACAGGCTAAGTGCAGGCTGCCAGGTGGATGGCCATGCACTAGACCCTGCTGCCTCCATAACAAAATTATGATGAGCGAATACCAGGGAGCCCATGTAGCACCACATGCTCACAGCACAGCCTAACCAGGCTGGGCCATGGCCTGCATGAAGCTTTGCCCCTTTGTGGCCATGCCTTAGAGTCAGCCCTAAAAGGGTTCTGCAGGCTACTGACAAGCATAATTCAAATCCTCTCCTTCAGGCTTTGAGTGGCCTTGCTGGAGCTATGCCAGTTTCTGTCTGATGTCTTACCGCACTTTGCCTCTAGATCCTATCCTGGACCCTGCCTAGCCCTTTTTCGAATACCTGCCCTGGTCTCTACTTTCACAGGGAAAAAGGGTCCAGGTAATAATGGACTCTTTAGTCTAGCAGGGAAAGGCATAACAGAAACCAATGACTAGAAGGTAAAGTCAGAGAAATTCAAACTTTGAAATATGACGCTGTATTTTGCTAATGACGGGGGGTAATCATTGGAACAAACCACCACGGGAAGTGGTGGATTCTCTTTCCTTGCTGTCTTCAAATGAAGACCAGACACCTTTGAGGAAGACTGGCTTTGACCAAACGCAAGCTACTGAACTCAATACATGGCTACCACAGTTAAAAATTAAGCATTGGTGATATACAGGAAGTTGGACTAAATGGTCTAATGCCCCCTTTTGGCCTTAAACACTATAAATCTGAATGCTGCCTTGAATAATTTATGATGTCTTAATTTATTGCAGGATGCCAACCAGTCATTTTAGCATGTTCAGAATGTTGAAAATAAGATTACCTTTACCTTTTATACTAAAATAAGTTTATGCAAAACTAGCATGTAGCTCAGGGGCGGGCAATTATTTTGGACAGAGAGCTGCTTACTGAGTTTTGGCAAGCCATCGAGGGCCACATGACAGGCAGCCCAGGGCAGATAAATATTAATTTTCAAAATTTTTAGGGGCCCTGCGGGCTGGATAGAATGGCCTGGTGGGCCGCATCCAGCCCCCAGGCTGCATTTTGCTCAACCTGAGGTGGCTTTATCGAAATCCTTATTAAAGTGAGGCCTCTAAGTATATATATTTTAATACTTATGTTCTGATTTTATAGAACAATAGAAACAAGTGACAAAAAAATCTAACAGATCATTTAGGGTAGGGCTGTCCAATTGGAGGCATACAGGTTACATGCAGCCTACGAGGCATTCAGTTGTGGCCCCCAGGCTCCTGCTCAGCCACTGCTCCCTCTATTGCTCTGGTTGCAACAACAGCCAAGGTCTCCAAGCTCTTCCTCCCTTCTCTGGCTGCTACTTTTGGACCCTGCCCTATGGGTCAGGGCAGTACTATGCAGTATGGGGAGTAGAGAGCAACTCAAGAGCTGCACAGTGCAGAGCGGGACCTATGCGGGCACACAGCATACCAGTTGTGGGGATGTGGTGCAGCAGCAGGGGAGTAGCCCGTATAGGTGAGCAGTACAGCACTGGGGCCAGGGGGTGGGGGGTGTCTATATGGATGCACAGTACAGTGACAGACTGTCCACAAAGGTATGTGGTCTGGGGACCTTGGTGGAGCCTGTGTGGCATGCAGCCCTGATTTAGGGTATGGACAAATGTATAATTGTAGTTGCTACAAAGACTGGGGGGAGCTTCTGTTCAGGAGCATGCAGCAGCTGTTATGCTGTAACAGTTATGGGTAAATGAGCCTGTGGTGACAGGATGTGGCAAAACTACTTCAACTTTAACCCTGCTTCATCCAGAGTTGAAGTCGGGGTGTTCAGCTCCCTTGTATCTGTACAGCCTCATACACATATAACAGTTACTGCACACTCCAGAGCAGCAGCTTTCCCTCAGCTATGAATGTCCATCCCCTCACTCCACTTCTTCACAGTGCACATGTGCTCCCTGAAGAGTATTTTCTTATGCTTTGTCCAGTCAAGTGTTACATGGTTTCCATCACTTCCTTGGGGAGTCTTTACAATCAAATTGAGTTATAAAAATATTCCTGATGTTATTCTTTTGCTCAGCTTACTTTCACTACTCCTAGATAACTCTAAACAATCCCTTTCATTCCCTGGAGCTTACTTCTTTTAAAATATTTGCTCTCCCCACTGTATCTCTGCAGCCTGAGTGAAGTAAAAACTATATAGCTGTTCACAAGTTCTCTGACTCTACACCACTGGCCCTAAGTCAGGCAAGCAAGCTTCAAGTTTAGTATGTGCTTAAATGCTGTTCTGAACAGGTGTTGTCCTCTCTGAGAGGAAGAGGGCTTGGGATGCTAGCCTGGGGCTTAGTAGAATAAGATTCACTTCCCAGCTCTGACAGAATTCCAGTGTGACTTGGGCAAGGCACTTGGCTTCTCTATGTCTCAGTTTTTCCATCTGTAAAATGGACATCAGTCTCACAGGGGTGTTGGGAGCATAACTCCATGAAAGACTAGGAGCTGCTCAGACCCTATGACAGTGGAGGCCATATAAGAGCCTAAGAAAGGTAGACATCCTGAAAATCTTGAATGCCACCTCCTTCTCCTGGTCTGCTTTTTTAGCATGGAATACAGAGCACAGGGAGAACAGAATACATCACTTAACTCAGGGCTATCCAGCAAACAGGCCATGGGCCACATGCTGCCCCTGAAGGGTTAGCATGCAGCTGGCAGGCTGTCACCACTTCCCCGCTCCCACAGTGGCTCCTGCCATGAGAGTTAGGTTCTTTGGGATCCTCCTCCTTCCTCCAGCTCCTACTTGCTGCCCCTGCTTCTGGGGGCTGGGTGATGCAGTGGGAGGGGGCTGGGGTGCCAGGGTGCCCATGTTGTTCATGCAGTGGGGAAATGGGTTGAGCCTCTCACAGTGTAACAAAAGCAGGAGCTGGGCTGCCGGCACTGTAAGTGGCCACATGACCAGGAGAGGAGGAGGGTGCTGTGTGTGCATCAGAGGAGAGCTGGACTGGCTGTTCTGCAGAAGAGGGGAGACATGCTGCCCATTGCAAGGAAGGGAGCAGGAGAGCTGGGCTGCCCATGTGAGGTGAGGTGAAACTGGGCTGCTGGCACAGCGCGCTGGGCTGCTCATGCAGCAGGGGAGACGTAGGGCTGGGCACCTGTGTGGCAAGCAGCCTTCAGGTTTGTGTCCTTTGCACCGTGTGGCCCCTGGCTACCTGGACAGCCCTGACTGACATGAAAGTGTGGTTCAAATTACATTAATATCCAATCTGCAGCCTTTAACAACAGTAAATTAAGGCCTCCGAATCTGTATTTCATATGGTCACCAAAGATATTGTGTTGGTCCACTAACTAAATGCATGAAAGAACACTGATTTCTGGGGTGGAGGGGGGGATATTAAAACTGAGCCAAGAAAGAGTGCTCTATGAAACACATTATTTTTAACATTTTGGGGAACACTGGCGCCCACCTTTACACCATACTCACCTGATGGAATAAAAAGTGTTTGTCCTTGTTTGACTGTGCATTTATAACATTTATCCACCTGGTCTGCAAAAAACATCTCGCTGTGATTTGCTGCTGACTGCCAGCGTTCATACAAAGAAATGTTTGCAGAGGCTGGTTTGATGAGATAAAATATCTTTTCTCCCTGCATTAGAAAAGATGTAATTAGTGACAAATATCCAAACCAAAAAACAACCACTCCGGTCTCTCTGTTGGACTGAACATTTTAACACAATTTTTAAAAGATTTTCTAGTTGATTCTGTATCAGACCAATGAAATGTGTTAAATGAAATGTGATGTAGTTATGCAAGTTTTAAAGTTTGAAATATATACAAAATCTAACACAATTCACTAGTAGCAGATGTTTGCCCAGACTTTAAGAGCACTGTAGTTTGTCAGACTCTATCCCTCCACAATAGAAGAATACTAATGATATTTAGCAACAACAGAGAAATGTAATACAAGAAGGAGGTGCATAAAGTTCTCTGAAGCAGAAGATACAATTAGCATGTTGTGAGCCATATCATCAGCTGGTGAAAGTGTCAGAAAGAAAAGTAATGACGCTTCACCAATATACATCATTTACAACAGATAACTTTTAAGAAGTTCTTAAGAAAGCTGTAAGCATTTGATTGGTTATGAAATATATAGTACAATATAAAACCTTACTTTTAGCACATGGTACCAAGCTGATGCCCCTCCAGAATCTATGTGAAAATCTGTGTAGCTGTCCTTCACACATATCAGGCAGTACTTGGTAACTTTTGGTTTTCCCAGAAGAGCATCATCAGGCCAATAATTCTCCACCCAAGACAGCTTTTTAACTATATCAGGTGGTTCTACAAAACTGGACATTCTTTACAGAAAAGGGGAAAACATGTTAATAATAATTGAAATAATCCAGATTCACATTAAAATTTATCTAAAAATCATGTCAGTCTGAAGCTGGAGTAATTCCAAAGCATTTATAATCAAAACATGACCTGGCATATTTTTAGCATAAGGAAAACATATTTTTTACAGTAGGCTGGATATTGTTTAGAAGCAGAATTTGGTGGGTTATTCATTCTTTTTGTGAAATACACTGATCATATTAGTATTCTGCTAATACCATTGTTGATAATGATAATGATATGATAAGATAATGTTAATATGCTGTTTAGGCTTAGTGAATGTATTATATAGTATATAAGGGTGTGTTACTTTTCTTTCTAGCTAATAGAAGGAATCCAGATAAATTAAGCATCCAGTCCTTATTCTGGTAATGTGAGCAAGCTGATCTTTTAATTGATACAATTAATAAAGGCTTAATCTAGTTCTAGTGGTCACAGTGACTCTTGTCATTATATTTAGGTTTGTGAAATTAAGTAATAAATTTAAACACAGGAAGGTCATCTGAACATATTTGATTGTAGGTAAAAGAAACATGTTGGCATTATGAGCTGGACATTTAACTAATGCTGGAATTAAATTAATGTTTTTATTTAGACGAGTTCAGTATTTGGACAAGTATTTGTTTTCCCAGAATAGAGAGCATTTTAAAGTGCATCTTAAGTGAGAGCAGCCTGTACTTCAATCTAAAATTAAATGCTCCCATTTGCAATGCATTTGTCTTGTATGCTTACCATCAAACCCTGATAATATAATTCCAATTAAAATGGTAGAAAAAGATGCTGCACTGGATTCAATTAAAATGTCACTGTCTTTGTTAAGGCATAAAATATTTGGTAGTTGATGTCTAAATCAGCAGCATATGAGTGATGGCTCCAGCAATCCCTGAGAATAAAAGACCTCCCATTATTGCTGTCTCTGCTAATAATGGGAAGCTGTAAAATCCCTGTAGAAAATTCTAATAATCACTGAACTCTAAAGTTACTTTAGATTCTTTATGTGGAAACAGGCACATATCACTAAAACAATAAGTAAATACAAATGAACTTAGGTTAGAAATCATGGATATTTAAATAAATGAACTTATATTTCTCTGCCAGACTTTCTTTTAGTCTGTGTTATCATAACTCCCTTCATTTTTTCAGTAAAATAGAATATTCTCCTAAAACAAGCATTCTTTATTTTTTTCTGTTCAAGTTCATCATTTTCTCTGTAGCAATGTAGTTTTTGTAAGGGGCCCTATTCACTATTAACATCATCTTTACAAATGTGCAAGTAACCCAAGCAAAGTCTGAAGGATTCCTGTATTTGCATAAAATTCAGGATACCACAAATCCACATCACCACAAAAGCTACTTACTCATGGAGTAAAATCTCAGGTCAAATACTGAACATGGCTGCATAAAGCAGAAAGCAGTAATTTGCACCGTTAGGCATACGTGGAACACCAGCTAATTAACTTTATGTCAAGGGCTTAGCATAACACAACCATGGGGAGGATGAACAATTTCTCTACCTCTGGGATTTCTAAAATGAAAATTCAGTCGATCACTACTATTGCAGTTGGTTCATTGCTTCACCAGAGTAGTTCAGACTTGACTTCAGTACTACGTATATTTACATATAGACGAGCAGCAAATTTCCATACTGAAATTAGTAACTTTAAGATCAACTACACTGAATCTGACTCAGAGTCAAACGTAAGAGATTCCTTTGCAAACATTGAAACGAAGGCATTCAGACCCTCCATAAAATCCAAAATGTATATTCACTTCAAACCTGCCAAATGGAGGAGGCCCTGGAGCTGGAGACCCCAGGATGACAAATGGATCCATATCCTGATTTAAGTTATACCTATATAAAAGCCACTGTATTGTTTTACTCTCCATGGAGGTACAATGAATTTATACCATTGAACCTGAAATCAAAATCTGGTCAGTGGGAACAGGTGGCTATGATGGCCTTAACACAGTGAGGACTGCATGTTCATTAAATTTAGATTGTGCTTTTAACAAATATAATGAAGACAAGCAGACCATGGATAACATTTTTAAGTGTTTTAGTGACTTAAAAGTCCATGTTGCACTGATATGCAAGTATTTTGAAAGTTTATTGTAGAGTAAGTTTCTAGAGACTGGTTGCCCTTTTCTATTCTGGGTTATTATTTTCATTTAAACCAGCCTCAAATATTTGAAAATAAATATATTTGGTTCTGAAAGGATCAGCATGGTTTAAACTTAAGGCAAGAAGTGGAGAGAAAAAAAACATTTGCAGTTAAATATTCAATAACAGGACAAGCTATTTATTTGCCTTCTCTCATTTTTGAATGGGTAATTTCCACAGCAGTAAAATAATGCTGTGGGACTAACAGTTAGTATTGTTTATTAAATGTACAAAGACAATATGGTCAGTGCTGTACAACACAGACACGCCCTGAAATAAAGATCCTGTTGAATATTTTTTTGAATTATCATTTTTACTTCATATAAGAGTCTAACTTACAGATAAAATATTAAATATCAGAAATCAAGATCTCCCCTTGTCTTGAAATGTTCATGGGTAGGACCTTATATATCTAAATATCTCCTTGCAGTTTAATATATTTTGTTATTATGTCTCATGATGTTTTCAGGACCCCATACTCTCACAAGTTCCAGTGTCTGTGAGTCATTCCGCTTTACCTTGTATCTGAAAACTCCAAGTTAGTTACATTGAGAACTCTTTTCCTGTTAGTGCTGTAGTAGTAATCAACAAATTCTTTCAGCTTCATTTTGCAGTCTTTCTGTTTGGTGACATCAGTGACATCAACACTTCTCTCTGGTCCTAAAAAATTCATGTAGGAAAACACAGGGAGTTGAAAGAGCTTGAAATGCAGATTGAGACCCATCATGTACAATGTCTCAGTGAGTTAAACTTTCTAACAATATCTACTATAATTCCTACTCCCTACTGTGAACCATAGTCATTTTATAGTAACTTTAACGACAGCTGCTGTACTTCCAATCCACGAGCTTTTTATTTCAGAAGTTTTTTATCTGAAAATGATTAGATGAATTTTAATCTCTACTTATTTCACTCACAGTAGCTTGTTCAAATTCATATACAGTATGTAACTATTTGGAGCTCCACAATGAATATGACAGCAAAACTAAATCTAGGTAACTAACTGATATTTATATTAGCCTCTCATGCTATTTATTACACTGACATCAGATATAGCGGACTTTTGTATTGCTCATGCTGTAAAACTGATTTCCCAATTGGTTACCATTCCCATCATTCCTATAATACGTTTTAATTTTGAAAACTGGCCTAAAGGTTAGATCAACAAAGACCAGCTACACAGGGAAGTTTTTAATTTCAAAGGCATTTTGAAGACAGGGCAGGGTGGCACCATAAGGTGTTTTTACACATGCTCCAGGCGTGAGGGGAGGGAAGGTGCTTTAATTAAAGCAGTTCCAAGAGCCGTTTTAATTAAAGTGCCTGGAGTGACTCGTGTATTATTGTCCCCACACTTCAAGATGGCAGCAGGGGAACTTTTTCTAAAGCTTGTTGAATGAGCTTTAGATAAAGCGCCCCTGCCGCCATTTTGAAGCACAGGGACACTGATACACAAGATGCAGAGGCTGGCTGGAGTGTGGGAATTACCATTAATTGATTGAGTCTGCTCTGACACACTGTAATTACAGCACGTCAGAGCAGCCTCTGGGCTCATGTACAGGCACCCTACTAGAGACTAATTGGTCCAAAGAGGCATAAGCTTTGGTAGGCAAGAGTTTGCTTTTTCATAGTGTCTGACGAAGTAGGCTGCTGCCTGTGAAAGCTCTTGCCTCTGTACACCAGTGGGTCTCTAAGGTACCACCCTGCCCTGCTTTCCGCCTGACTTCAGACCAACACAGCTAACTACCACTCTCAAAATCATTTTGAGGGGGAGGTACTCAAAAAAAGCCTGACCATGGTGTTATTTTTCTTAACCCTAACAACTATAATACTACTTTCCAGCATCCCTGTTGATAGCTTTCACATTTTGGAGACTAAATCAGTTCTGTTCTGTACGTATTGTGCCTGCCGTTCTTTGGGTGCCTATTGCCAACACACTGGTAATTTGTTTGGTTCTGTGGTTTGTGCTAGCTCTTTTCTCTTCTGCTGCTATCAGTTATATTTAAAAGACCTTCTACCACCTATGGAAAAAAACAGCAGTTCAATGAGCTAATTTCTAGTATGTTCCTGATGTAGTCAAGTTATGAGAGAAACATATTTGTCCCATTTGCTTTAGGATCTGTTTCTGCAGTGCTGTAGCAAGGGGGCAGAGGGGCGAGCGGAACGACCCCCTGACAGGTGCTGCCCAGCCGGGGCAGGGCGTGGGACGGATACACAGAACAGTGCAACATGGTCAGTGCAATCTGTGTGTAAGGCAGGGCTGTACAACTGATGGACCATGTGTGACGTCTGGGTTCTCATGCAGCCACCGGTCCCCTATCTCTCTGGCTGAAATGGCAGCTGGGATCTCCGAGTTCCCCTCACTCCTCTGCCTGCCACTTCCTGCCCGTGCCCCAGGGTGCAGGGCAGCACAGCAGTATGGGAGTCCATGCCATGCTCGGGGGGAGGTGTGTGGAATCGTGGCTGCGTGGGGTTTGGGGAGATGCGGGGTGTGGGAGAATCGGCACAGTGCACAGTCCGTGGCTCACCTGGTACAGCCCATGTGTGCAGCCCCTGCTGATGTGGCCCCTGCGGTATTAGGAGTTGAACAGTCAAGGTCTAATAGATGGAGTTATGGTAACAAAGGATTAAAACTCTGGTGGAGGGAAAGTGAGTAGCATAGGACAGTGACTGAGTTTGGAAGGAAAGATCTGGTTATGGAGATGGATGAAAGGAAGAGGGATGAAGGGAGAAAGGGACAACAATTCTGTAATGGCTACAGAGCTTCTTCCTGAGGGAGATATTTCAGGATGGTCTAAAGTGATCTCCTGCAAAAGGTATGTGCATTACCCTAAACAGGCTGGATGTGAGGAAGGACAGCAAAAAAAGTAGTGCCATGGAAAGCAGGAGAGCTAAAGTCAGGAGGGTCCTGGGCAGCTAAGGTATGTTCCCCTTTCTCCTCCTTCAGTGACCTGCACTTACTTCACCTAGTGGGATTTCCACAGTCTGGGGACACTGTTGTTGTTAGCCCTTAAAGCTGCTCTGCCACCAAGTTAATGCAAATGTCAGTAGTGATAAAAACACGAAGAGCCAAAGTGTCTGTTCACCAGTACTGAATGCTAAAGAGCTCAGATGGAGAAGCTGCAATGACTCATCGGCACAGGTGACCTCAACATATAATCATTTTTCTCATAGGTAGTGAGATGGCAGTAATCAGCTAGGCCCTGGTCAGGACAAACAATTTTTCAGCATCATTAAGTCTGCCTCTTGGAAGAGTGCTGTAGAGTGCAGCAGAGCACTGGCTCTAACAGGACTTGGTACACGTAACACATGTGGTTCAACTTCTAATTAGAGGAAAGCATTCTGTGATTAAGTCTGACAGCCCTGCAATCTGGCAGGTAAGGCTGTGTTTTACATGGATATACTTTCTTTCTAATGGTAACTGTTAGATCTCCACATTGGGCTTTGCAAACCCCACCTAAATGAAACCAATTATGGAGAGAGGGATTTAACAGCTGATCAGAGCACAACACTGGACACAAAGTGACAGAGGAAATTCACTGGGCATACTCCTATGCTTTTACAGAAAGTGTCCTAGGATGCCCAGGGGTGGACACTCTGCTACCCCTTGGGAAGCCATTTATGCTTGAGCACAGTCAGAGCACAGAAGATGCAAAATGCTACCAAATCCAAATATCATATCCATTTACCATGGGTAAATGTATTACATAATGTTAAATGCGATTCAGGGTCGAGCCCTTATGGGTAAAGCCTGGACTCTGAGGAGGCTGCTTTTCATTGTGTCAGTAGCAAAAAAGCAGACATAAAGCACTGGGTTTAACTAGCGGCTGGGAATTCCCTTGGTGTGGGCACTGTGTCAGTTCTAGCTGAAGGGATCAAAGTGTTTGAAGGAATTTTTCAAGACTTGACTGAAACAGGTGCCCACCAAAACCAAAGAGGTTATTCACTGCTGGGTTATTTGAGTTTTACAGAAATGGAACAGAACTGTTATCACATGTTAGGAATGGAAGAGGAGGGGAGAAAGAGGACCAGTCTCCTCTCTGATCTGGCCCCCAGGGCTGCCTCAACATGCATGTCCAACCTGAAGAGGGGAAGAGCAGCGAGAATTGCTGAGCACTAACTAAGCAGCAGCACTCAATACAGGGCTAGGCTTAAATGGCATGAGCGAGCACAATGTGTGTAAAACTAATACAGACACATATCACACCCCCTCCCACCAAATACATACCAACATAGTTTTCAACGTCACTGACATAGAATGTAGGTGCAGGTACAGCCAAACCCAAGCCGTCCTTCTTTGGAACTAGGATAGGCTCTGTGAATCCATTTTCTTCCAAGTACTCTGTTGTTAGTTGGCTTCCAGTCACTTTCACTACAATATCCTCCGCACTAGAAATGCAAACACAGTTTCCAGGCTAAATTATTTCCTACCCAAATTCAACATTCATTTGATTTCTTCACTGAATAGATAAGTTTATCATTACAAGTTGCTCTCAGATGCCACTGACAACTTTGCTTTGTTTAGCTGGGTGGCCCAACACTTTTGAAGCAATGCAAGACCAGGTGTATAGTTTTGTATCTTTTGGTGAAATGCTGGGATTTTTTTGGAGACAGAAGGGAGTAAAGTTTCCAAAATCCACTGGTACTCAATAGAAACTGAACACCTCACACCCACAGTGACCATTAAAAAGCCCAGCTTTGCTCTACAATGATATCCTGTGCATTGTGCAATTGGATAGAACAGAAATCTTGGTCCTACTAAACTCAATGTAGTAAATAAAATTAAATACAAACCTTGTCATCTGAATCTTGTGTCTGATAGTTTAATACTTAGTCCTATTACACATGCAAATAGTACCTGTATTCAAACCTAGCCAAAAGCACGTTGCTTCAATAGCAAATAACAGTATATAATATATTTTCTTGCTAATCTAATAATTCTAATTCTCATACTTTTACCTGGCAAATTTAATAGACCAAATTATCCTTTCAGGTCCATGAGAAAGCCAGAAACATTTGCTAGTCACCATGGCTACAAGGGTACATGTGTGGGGCTTGGTTCTTTTCCTAGGATCTTCTGAGCGAAGTCTAACTGTCAGTAACTACTTCCCATAGGATGTTATAGGGAGTGGGTGAGGACTTGCAATGGTGATTTGGGGGATCCCCTCGGTTAATGATTGATTGTGAATACAGGGGACTGGACTTGATGACTCAGGGGGCCCCATCAGTCCTATGTCTCTATGTATATTGTTACTAACATAATTATATTTCTTTCCTTATTGTAGGCATCACCCTGACAGTTCAGTAACCTAACTTGTGCTGTCCTCAATGAAAGGTGCAAGTCCTAAGGGCCTTAGAGAATCAGGCCAAAGCCTAAAAACTAAATAACACAAACCAGCACCAATAATGAGCCTTGAAGTCTTCAGAAAATAGCTTAAAATTAGTAGCCTCACTCTAGTTGCCTACCTAGCATCTTGTTGTCATTCACACCTGCTCAAAGTGGAGGTTCAGTTGTACCATTCTGATTTAATAACATTTTATGCGCACTTTGAAAAGGTTTAAGTGACTGACTGAAGTGGAAGGCGGTGGAAAAAAACAGGCCTCTGTGAGTATATAATGAATAGTATTCCACTGAACCCTGCCTATGTCTGTGCTTGATTGCAACACTCCAGTCACGTGGAAAAGAGATGCCTGAGTCAGATGGCAACATACTGATTGCATAGTAAGTGGAGCATACCAATCCTTCTGGATAAAGTTAATGTCCACAAACTCTGCCTGTAGGGGCCCAAGTAGATTTAAGCACCTAAATGGGCACATCTACGTGAGATGTTCACTGTGCAGCTGAGTAATTAGCTGTAAATGTCTCAGCACCTACACGTGCGCCCCTATTAGGCTGGAGTACACTAATTTGGAGTAAATACAAATACTCTCCTGATGCAGAGTAAAAAACTCCACAGGACTGCTTATGTAGATGCTGGATGGGCTGACTGGGGCATGAGGGTGCTTCAGTGTAGGGGCTGCCCGCTGGCTAGCCCCACACTGTGCCCTTGTGCCCAGCTAACCCCTCCATAACATATCAAGCTGGGGTGAGCAGCCCTGGGCTAGCCCTGCCAGCCAGGGCTGCTCTTACCTGCCTCCTTGTGCTGCACCTGAATAAACTGCAGAGCTTATTGCTCCTGCCTGAGTTAACTGCTCCTGGGCGCATGTTCAAACAGCATGCCTAGGAGCAATAAGGTCAGCAGTTTATTCAGGCACTATAATTGAACATGTAGACGTGCCCAATGTGATCTTATTTCACCTGACTCAAGTCCCGGAAAGCTTTCAGTGCAAAAGTCAGTAGGACCTCCTGCTCTTGCCTGCTTTTTTTAAATCTTAATTTTAAGGCTACAGTGACAGCAGGCTACAAAGATAAATGTATTAATGGGTAAATGGGATTGCACTTAGATGACTAAGTTTACCTAGGTGGCCTGTGGTAAATGGACAATTTCAATAGGTGTAAGAAGCAATCAGTTATCAATGATCATTGTAAAATTTAAAACAACTTGCGTTAAATAGTTCAATGTAAAGAATGCAACATTCACTATTATGTATTACATAAATAAACTATTCAGTGAAGGCGTTACCACTCATTGGCAAATAGCTAAGAAGGTTGATACAATTCAGCAGTTTTATCAAATGAAGAGTGAGCCACAACAAAAATCAGGGAATTTCAAAATCCAGCATCCAGACCACATCAGTTGAACAATATTTGTACCAATATTTTCAGAGGCATGATCAGATTGGACTCCCTGGGATTACAAGTCCCTATATGGTAACGGTGCTCTAGTCATGGGTCTAGCAAATGTTATTTTCTCCTGTATGAGTCAACCTAGGTAAGCTGGGAAATTGGTTATTTAGACAAATATAAAAATTTCTTGGGCTGGTGAACATATAATATTTGTCTGGGAAATGCACTAAGAGATCCCTAGAACTGCCTTCATAGCCAGGCAGTAAACCGGCATTAATATGCCTGGGAAACACACATTTGGACTAAGTGGGGATAACCCCTTGATCTACAGAAGTTACAACTCTAGAAATACCAGAGAGTAATACATGACTGCCCTCTTCTGTGTTAGTTCTGAATTACAGCTGAACATGTTACGAACAGCTGATGTTTTCCTATGATATAACCAAGAAAATGGGGGAGGGGAGCAGTGATAAAACCAATAAGCAAGCACTAATACCGGCATGGTGGATGCCAGAACAACCCACTCCACATTCTTTAGCTTCTTAGCGTGTAGAGCACAGGACACACCAGCTGTGTGGTCCCAACCAAATTTCTTTCCTTTACTTTCTTTTTCTTTTTCCCCAGGACTTTCTTAATAGGACCTGAAGTTCCACTGATGCACCCCAATCTCAGTTGCTTATGCAGCATTTTCAGAGGGAAGGGCTTTTTGGGGAAGTATGACTGGATTTTGAAATCAGGCACACTTGAGAACAGCTTCAGGCCAGAACAAAGCAGGAACAGGTGGCATTTTACACATGCGTTATCAGATATGTGAATTTCTGAATAATGTTCTGGAATAGTTCATTTTCCCCAGCATTTGTGGGCCACATTCAGAGCCAGACCAGAGGAAGTGAGAAGTATGTCAGTTCATTCCTTAACAGGTGGCCATGATAAGCAGGCCTGGGAGGGGGATGCTAGGAGGACAAGAGCTGGAACCAAATAGGAAAGAGATGTAGGAAGAGGTAATCATTTTAAGACCCAGGTTATATCCAGGGCAACCTAGGTATGTCCAAGTATTAAATAATGTAGTAGTAAATGATCCAGAGTTAAAATTAATTTTTCCTACAGCAGGGAGGGAGGGTGGTTCTATACTGCAGTCACCTAGCTCCAGATCCTGTTAGCAGTGTACCCACAGCAGCACACAACAAAACACAGTCCAACTGAAACTTTATGCATCTTCAGAGGTTTTGCAGCTAGTACAGAGCTTTGCACTGCTGCTGCTACAGTACAACAGCATCTCAGCTGGGTAGGTAAAAGCTAGCTCAGGTACATCCACACAAGTTGCAGGCACTGCAGAGCCTACAGTGTAACCATATCCAGAGATTCAAGAGGTAGATAGGTTGCCATGCACTGTGTTCCAAAGATACCAGAAATCATATGCAATGTGGTCAGGCAGATCTCACTTCCTTGGCAGATACATTTTAAGCTATACTGGGCACATCTACACATGCCCATGACTGCGCATTTGGTACTGCGCAGTCATTTAGTACCTGCTAAAGCAAAAGCAAGTATTAAATGACTGTGCAGTACTCACCAGTACTGCACAGTCCTGGCAGCGCACAAGTAATTTTCAACCCTGCTGCACAGTAGCAGCAGCGTCATGGTTAGTGCCCACTGAGCTACGTCACCATAGTGATGAGCTACACAACGTAGTGTCTTGAGTAGCTGTGCCCACTACGTAAGGACAGGGTTCTTTGTCAGATGTGTAACAACCAGGGTCGGTGCCTTGGGTGGATGCTGGGTCAGTGGTGGCAGTGCCTGAGCTAACAGCAGCAGCAGCAGCTGCTGCCATTCTTACTCCTTCTAATTTGGTTCTGGAGCTGATGGCCCAGTCACCTGCTGCTCATTATGCTGCTGCTCTTTGTGCACATAAATACAAATAACATGCAGAGTGAGGCTTGAGCTCCTGTATCATCTAAGGACCAAAAGGAAAGCTAAGGAGCTGAGCCTCAGAAAAGGCACTCGGTAAAATTAAATTCTTGCCACATACTGTGAGGGCTAGACAGAAATTTGGCACCCCACAGTGCAGATGAGCAGATATTAGCTCAGGAAGGGCATTATGCTTTAAGGAGCTGGGCTACCTCTTGAGGAAGATACTAATTAGCTGAGCTCTGCCCAAGCTCACTGCAAATCTGTGAGCCTGTGAAGGAGATGAGAAGGAACCTAATGAGAACAAGGAGCCAGGGGTGGCGTTAACTAACCACAGAAAACAGTTAGACACATTGGTGCAAACAGATGTAGGTCCTCTGGAAGGGTCTAAGCCAAATTCACCTGTGGTGCAATTTATTCCTTGGTACAAATGGGGCACAGAAAAGGTGTAAGGAGTATAACTTGCATCAATCTGTTTTTCAGAGGGTGCACATAAGAGGGGGAACAAGGAGGAGAAAGGAACAGCAATTAACAGGAAACTATCATTTAAATTATAGGCTGGTGGGATGGCTTACTTTATTCCTCACATCCTCCTGCTAGATGCCTCTCTGCAACATCCCCCTCTGCTACTTTGGCATATAAATTATGTTCAGCTTGTTCATTCAATGAATGGAAATCACAGTGGTCTACCACTTAGCCCCCTTCTACTCACTCACAGCTCAGGATCACCCTACATGTACTGCACATATTTAAGCCACCAATGAATTTGCTTTCATAAGGGCCTTTACAAAATGCTTACAGGAACAAATTAGGGTACTAAACATCTCCCAGAAATTTGTAATCAGCATTGAGACACTTGAAAATTGTAGGAGTTGGAGTCTTCTACTTCAAAGCATTGCAGGGCGCATCTACAAATGCATTTACAGCACAGTAACTTACTGCACAGTAAGCAATTTTTAGATTGATGTCTACACATGTAGGTATTAGAGTGCAGTAACACTGTGTGCGCACTGACTTGGGAGTAAAGTTACTCCCAAGTCAGTCCACACAAACAGGGTTACTACGCAGTAAGGCGTTACTGCACAGTAACTACTTGGGAGTAAATTTGCTACCTGCATCATGCAGGTAGCAAATTTAGTCCCGAGTCGGAGTAAGTCGCCATAGTTACTGCACAGTACAGGCGCACATTTGTAGAGGTGCGCCCATACTGCACAGTAATTTTCGGTTACTTTGCAGTAACCTAAGTTAGTGTGCAGTAACAGTGACGTATAGGTGCGCCCTCAGTGTATTAGTAAGTGGTGTAACAAACTGTTTAACAAATTGTGGGAGAGTGGGCAGGGGCACAGGTTTGGGAACTCCAAAACATTCCCTGACTAGTCTTACCCATGCTAGGAACTCCAAAATAATCCCCAGTTACTGCTGCCGCCACTGTGTGTTCTGCCAGCCCCAGCTGTTGCTCTTAAAGCAGCAGCAGCAGCAGCAGCAGCAGCAGCCACCACTGCCACTTGGGACTGTTATTTAGTTCCCAGGATAGGCAAGCCATGAGTCTGCTCTTGCTACAGGTACCACTTCCCCCCACCCCTGGTTACGATACTGGTATTAATAATGTAGGAATTGAATTCCAGTCAACCATAGTAAGCCAAACCTGGGAGGGCTCTCTCTTGATGGGGAGCAGAGGCTGTACTACATAACCTTGTAAATTCCTTCTAGCCCCACTTTCTATGATTCTATGAATGTATTAGTAATGTTGGTAAGCCAAACTGGGGAAAATTATTTCTTTCCTTTTAACTGAGTGCCAAAATATGGGGCCATGTATATTGCACTCACAATTTACCTATCTCTACCACCAGCCCCACCTCCTAATCATCCTAACTAGACTTAAAGTATATCACCCTAGTTTCACAATCTTATAAAATTGCCAGTACAAAAAGTCAAAGGTGAAAACCAAAGAGTTTAATGGCTAAAAACATACAAGTAAAATGACTGGACACTGAATTAAGAAAAAAAATGCATCTATGAGATTTCTGGACAAAAAAGAAACCTCAACCTCAACTGATTCCCCTATAAAGCAATCATTTTAGGAAAAATATTTGAAATTAAGAAGGCAAGCTCCAATAATTACACAACTCTTATATTTTTGGAGGGCACTTAAGCAACCTCAGAGGATTTTTCAAAAATAATTCGCTTCAATCGTTACTGGGAGCCACTTACAAGTACCAGAAACAAATAATCAATCTTACAAATGGTTGTAAATAGAGAGTGTAAGAAGCCCATTTTCATTTAGTGCTATTAATTACTATTAATTGGTCTTGTAGCAATGAAGGATTTGGCCATTTTCTGTTCAAGCTGAGATTAACTTCAGAAAAGTTTGCATTATTCTTGAACACAGGACATAATCAGAATGTAAATCCATGAGGTTTCTTACACAAGTATTATTCTATATCTGTTCCACTTATAAAATTTTGGGTCACACGGTGCTCTTATTTTTCCAAGGAATTGGATCCAAATAGCCATGGGGAAAAAACTGTTGTAATAGGGTTACAGCAGCATATATGGGGAGTTAAATATAAAACCATGTTCACTTCTGCCTTAAAGTCTTTAAAATGAGCTTAAAAATATGTCTTTAAAAGAAAAAAATGTTCACATAGGAAGTTCTCGTTCTTTTCATATATACCCTTATGTTATTTTCACCATAGTTACTCCTCTATTTGAGCACAAATTGTAACTAGTCATGTGCTTTACAACAACAGCACTTAGTATTACTGACATAGCTGAATAACCTACCTTGGAAAAGTTCGACTTCGAAGTTCCTTTATAAAGACTTGACTTCCATTTTGTACGGGTTTGACCTCTGTAGTCTGCCCAGTGTCATGCTTATGCCAATTTCTTTTCTTTTTCACTGAAAAACAGCAAATTGGACAGCCCCATATGCTAAGCAGGAGATCGTTATTAAGCCATTCTGCAGAGAAAAAATCTTAAGAGCACTTTTCGTGCAAGCAGAGGAAAGGGAACCCCCACTAAGCAGCATTGTTAATTTTAATATTGTTTTTGATTCACCATTTGACAATTACACTGTAGCCTGAAGATCTATTACGTACTGAACAGTGTTCATTTTGTAACATAAGGGCAACCAGACGGATAATTACTGAGCTGTACAGCTATCAGAAGCTTTATGCAAACACAGGCTCTGGATAACGTTTTACACTTGCCAGACAACACACTTAATCTTTATTGTAAACCTCCTAAAAAGCTACTCTTCTGCTGTCTCAATTTGCAGCATAGATCATTGTGAACATACTCTATGGATCTGACTGAGAAAAAAGGGCAGATTTGCCACTGACTTCAGTGGCATTTGGATCAGACACAAAATATGTGATTCTAGTGAGTAAGTCTACTCTCTATGTTGAGGGTAAAAAAACATTCCTGCATATCCCAGCCAATTTTTGGAACTATGTTTAATACTAGGTTTTGAAATGCAAGCTAAACTTGTACTGAGTTGACCCACCTGAGCCAAATGCCCCTGAGCTGCACTCTCAGTGTATGATAGATATTTGGGCAAGCCAATCAAGCAGAACCACTTTGGTTTCTAATATTCATCAGCATTGGTCCCTGTTGGTAGTTCAACTTTTTTATTCTCTTTGGATGTTTTCATTGTTGTAATAAATTATTTACATCAGAATTAGAATTTCACATCATTGTAAGCTCTATGACCTCCAGTTTTTCCAGTGTCACTAATGTTATTTTTTAGCCTTGTTCCAGGGTGCATCAAAGAGTGGGCAAGCTAGGGAGCAGAAAGTACAAAATCTGAGTTCACCCAGCACTCAGTAGGAACCAAACCTTTTTTTTTCTTAATGTTCCAAACAGATTTTCAGGGAATTTCCATATTCCTCTGATACCACAACTGGACAAACATCCCTCCCACTTCCCTTCTGCATTCATATACACTTACTCACACCCCCTGTCATTGACTACCAAAAGAGCTGAGTGGCTCCCACTTTACCTTCCTGGGACCTGGCAAAGTCAACTCTTTTCCTGGCCATGACTGTGAACATAACTACCAAAGAATCCACCCCAGGTTTTGCACAATGCACACTGGTTTTATTAGTTCCATGCAGCTCTCCAGCCTAGCTGGATATATTCATTAAAGCTGCTAGTTCTTTATTTTAATGACTCTCAGGCTTAGTGTATTAATTCAATGTTCCTAGTAACAAAGGAAATACTCTCAACATGAACACCACTCCTTACCCTCTTTCTTTCCCCATAACCCCCAACTCCAATAAAGCTCATCTCCCTACCAGCCAACTCAGTTTCCTCAGTTTTTCTAGTTAAACATGATAAGAGTGTAAGGGATGTTATCATATTCTCCTGTTCCTTCAGTTATTTTACCTCAAACAGCATGACTGTGTGGAAAGACCAATGAAGCAGTGAACTGTAATATTCACAACAAATCTTTTACATAAGCTCAGTCCAAAATAACTGCCGTTCAGTTCAGGGGGATACTTTCTCAGGTACAGGGCAGGTGGGCATTGAATTCTGACTGCTAATCAATAGATGCCTAATTCAAAATATCCCCTGAGATGCTTGCTCATACACTGCAGAAGTTCAACGGGAATTATGCAACAGAGAAGGGTGATATTTGGTCCATTCTCAACCAGTTTCTTTATTATATGTTTGTACTGTGTGGACCACAATGACAGATATTTGACTGTCAAATATGAGGTGCAATAGATATATAAGATATGCTATAAATCAATAAGATCAACAAACTCTAGGGCTGGCCTTACACATCAGATTTTTGGGGATGAATGCAACACGTTTTGCAAACCCTTTCTGAAAAATTCTGAATTTTCAAACATTTCTACCACCTGAGTATAAAACTGGCCAGGATGAGGGAAAAAGCAAGTGGTCTTCATGAAAAATTTTGGGGGATTTTTTTTTAATTAGTTCCCACTTACCTCTCAAACTGAATACACTGCCTGGACTCAAACGCATATATTTATATGCATATATTGAGAAAAACTATGTCTATAAGCTCTTGTTTGTTATATATTTGTTAATATTATTCTAAAAATACTTTGAGTCTGATTCCCCTTTTGTATATATCCATGCAGTTCCACAGGCTTGACTGGTATTCCTCCCAGTTTTCAGCAGCCTAAGGGACTGAGGTCAGGCAACATGTTTTACGTATTTCTATGAAACTGAGTCAAGACTGCCTAAACAGAGCTTTGCCATTTTACTTCTATGGCATCAGAAATATTTGTGTGAATATTTCATATTATGTGTGAATATGTAGAAGTCTACATAAATTTCTGTAGAAGAAATTCTTCTGTAGAAGAATTTCTACTTTATGTAGAAGTCTCTATAAATTTCATTATAGCAAAATTACTTTAAATGTCATATGAAAGGAAGTAATTTTCTGGAATAGTAGTCACCAAGCTACACTAGTAAAGTGAAAAATGTAATAAGAGAAAAATGATTTTTAAATTTGACATCTGGAAAACATACATTGTGGAAAGCATGCATCAGAAATATACATTTAAAATCTGTAGAAGTTGCACAAGACAGAAAGCTTTTTCTGCTTCTTTTTCCTGGTCCTACAAGAATGAAGTCTTGGCAGTATTTTATAGGATCTGGAACAACACTTACTTGCTTAATACAGAATTGGTATTGCTTGATAAGTTAATTAGTTTAAAATATACTGTACCAGTTAAAAAACAAATTAAACTGATCACCTCAGAGAAGTTCCATTACAGAAGTACAGTATAAGTAGACCAAGCTGCATACAACTACTTGACAGGAGAACTATTACCACAAGGTCAGTTCCTGATTTTGCTTAAGGTCCCTTATTTTCTGAGTTTCTTCCATTACACAGGGTCACTCCTTTACTGTTTGCTTTTTTGCTATGATATATAACCCTTTTGTTATAAATATTTTTTTCTTTTTAACCATCAAAACCTGTTGGATATCCTGAGAACCTGTGGCATACAGATTCAACAAATTCAAAGTATGATATTCCACGCTCATTCCACACTCAGGGCACTTGTACACGTGATGATCATCACCATGTACAAGTGACAAAATTTCCTTTGTGTGTCTTAATAGCATCACACATTATATGTGCATCTAGTTTGTCGGAGTCAGCCCCAGCTGTTGCTCTTAAAGCTAAACTACATCCCCATGTAGTTTAGTTTGCAACATTGCTACCTGTAACCTTGCAGCTTTAATCTGAGAGTTTACCCCCCTCACTGCGGGACAGTGTGGCAGGCTCCACCAAAAAAAGGATTGGGCTCCTCGCCGCTTCTCCCTTCAGCAGGCCACTGGGGCAGTGCAGAGAGGTGGCAGGAGGGCAGCTGAGTGTGCTGGCAGCTGGAGAAGGCAGTGGGATGGTACACAGGATATTGGAAGTCCCGGTGGTCTCAGGAAAGAGTTGGATCCAGTTGGGTGCTGCCTCTGAGATGGGGCAGCACCCAGCCTGCTAGCAACCAGCCCAGGCAGCCCCAGGAGTTGCCACCATCAGGGAGCGAAGGACTGGGGCTCCCTGCAGCTCAGGGGCAACTCGGTCCACTGGCAGCTTGCCCCCTGGCCGTAGGCAGGTTCCTTGAGTGTGCTGGCAGCTGGAGAAGGCAGTGGGATGGTACACAGGATATTGGAAGTCCCGGTGGTCTCAGGAAAGAGTTGGATCCAGTTGGGTGCTGCCTCTGAGATGGGGCAGCACCCAGCCTGCTAGCAACCAGCCCAGGCAGCCCCAGGAGTTGCCACCATCAGGGAGCGAAGGACTGGGGCTCCCTGCAGCTCAGGGGCAAAAAAAAAAAAAAAAAAAAAAAAAAGAGGATTGGGCCCGTCACCGTAACCTGATAGAAAAACTGAAATGGTTTAGTCCTCAGGTTTCTATTCTATGCCCCACTATTTCAATTGAGGGGGCATAAAACAAAACCTTGGGGAATAAGCCCCTGTCATGTGTACAAGTGCCTTTAGGTTTCAGCTCTTTTGCAGGTCTTTATTATGTCAGTCTACTCTAATGACTGATTCTATGAAGATATGATATTCTCTGTATCTTTGAGAAAACATTTATGCTGTTGTATATTTCTAGCAGGACTGTAAAAATACATGGTTTATAAGACTATACAAGTCGGGATGTTTTGGAAACACCACCTTTTTACTGTAAAAATAGCGATTATCTATAAAAGGCAGGGTTTTTTTTCAAGCAATGAACAAGGAAGAGCCTAGATAAAACATTAAAGTCAGCTGCTATTTCTAGTCTATTTGTCATAATCAGTATATTACACTAGTATTCTTCTTATTGTAAGAGTCATTGCTTGAGTTGTAAGATTATGCACCTATGCTTGTTATGTAATTTATACCTAGATCCTGATTATGGACTGTAGCATCTTTATCTGTTTTTTTCACTCTGAAAATGAGGTGCCTTTCCTCATTTATAATTCAAACCAAAGTCAAAGTAATAAAAACATCAAATGTGTTTGAAAGTTTCACAAGAATTTCATTCAGAGTCAAGAAAACATGCTTTATCCTCCTCTACAGTGGGTCAACATTGGCCTTAAAATATCTTCGTACCCTGCTTTTTCAAGTAAGTCATTTTGTTGCTAAATTATTCATTCCAAAAATGATTTGCAGTTATGTGTTAGGCATATGCTTTTTACTATAGTCAGAAATTTTCCAACACAAATCTTTCTCCCATTAGAAATGCAGAGTCATCAGAATCAGAGCATTTTATAGGAACATGCTGATATCACTGAAGCTTCCAAAGGAAGTGGCAAAATTCCTGGCTTTCCAGCATGTACCCAGCTCATAGGCTGATTACAGAGATGAGTACCAGAGAACTCCAGCTTGAGCTGAGACTCTGAGGACTTCCAATCTGCCTACCATCCAGGAAGCCCTGCCTTGAGCTGTGAGGGCTTCAGACCCCAGCCTTCTTGAGAGGTGAGCAGCTTGGCTCCGAGGAGTTCAGGGAGCCCAATCAGCTGCATTTTGGAAAAGGTAAAACAGAATGTTGTTTTGAACCTTCAGAATTAAAATATCAGATTTCTAAGGAAATGTGTGTGTATTTGAACCAGGGGCATAATTTGGGAATTAATTAATTAATGTTGGCATTTCCACAGTATGGGAATCCTAGATTTGGGCTAGCTCCATTTGTCACTGACAATTTGAGAACCAAGAACATCATATTTCCAACCCACCTGCAGGCAGATGAGAGTAGTATTTTCCCCTTGATCTTCTTAATTGTAGTTTGTTGCATAATAGTTAGACTGTCACTTTGCCACATATTTATAATAAATAATGTCTAAATGAAGCATTTAATTTCACAGTGATTTTTTACCTTTCCATCCTAGATAGAAGTTCTGAATTAATTTGACCAAAGTAAAAAGATCCTGCAGTTCTCAATCAAATAGGAACTCCCACTGACATCAGCTATATTTTTAAACCAGTGGGAGTTTTGCCTGAGAAAGAACTGCAGGAATTGTTCTTCTCAATGCGCCCTACTATTTTAACTGTTCCACCGTTAACAAATAACTGCATGTCCAAGACCAGCATAATATATTATTCCTTATTCTTCCTACCGGAAGATAATTACTCAAAAACAGCATATTAGAACTAGAACATATTAGATTTGCTGCTGGTCACACAGCGTTCCTGTGGTTAGGCTAAACAGGAAAATGAATTCAGATATCCAAAATCCCAGTCTACATTCCAATGTTACCCCAACTGTGTTTAAAATTCCAATTTTAATTAGCAAAAAATATATCAGTGTTGAGAATTCACCCTGGCCTTTAATATGCAGTATCTACCTGAGTGTGGAGGAGTCAAACAGGTGTACTTACAGGTAGACTTCCCATGAGTTTTCTCACAGTTTGGACAATGGTAGATGTCAATATCTGGCGCCTCATCTTCTTCTACGCCAACACAGCTGGAATATTTAAAAACAAACCTTAGATCATCCTCAGTCTAGCTCCCAACACACAAAAAGATGAGAGGAATATAAAGTAATCAGTGTATTAATTGCCAAGGGCCATACTAAGGCAGCACATTATGCATGCCTTTGACACAATGATTCCCAACCTGTGGCTGACGAGCAACATTGTTGCTCAAGAGATTCTCTGGCACTGCTTGCAGCCTTGGAAAACGTGGCTTCCCATTAAACATGTTTCTTCCATTTGCAAGGAGAGCAAGGTAAGATGCTGCCTGCAGCACATTACTTGTTCAGTATTGCTGCCCCTGGGCCAGAGAAGGTTGGGGACCACTGAGCTGCCTAGTACTACAGACTACGTTCTTTACATAGTGATGAAAGGAGGTGTCACCCAGAAGCTTGTTTGCAAGTTCAGTAGGAACCTCCCATAAAATTTGATAGAGACTCTAATTGAAAATCCCTGTTTTCATCTATAAAGATTGTTTTACCTGGCTGGGACTGATGATTAGTGGAATGGTGGGAAATCCATATGAGGACAAACTAAAGAAGCTAGCCCTATTCACTTTAAAAAAAGAGATGCTTGAGGGAGAACATAAAGAGGGTTTACAAAATACTAAATGAAGAAGAGAAAGTGAATAGGGATTTATTTACTCTCTCTCACAAAAGAAGAAGTCACAAAATGAAACTAGTAAGTTTAAAATTAACAAAAGGAAGCTCTTTTTCACACAGTGAGTGCAACGTTTATTACACAATTGCCCAGTTAACTGCGCAGTAAATGTCTCAGTGTCTACACGTGCACCTCTGTTAGGGTACACAAAACTACTAAACTCCACATCAGGTTAAGACTTGTAAATATAAGTCCTAAACTGCTGTGGAGTTTTTTCATGTGCAGGAGTGCACATGTAGGTGCTGCCCCAGCTAGCTGGGGCATAGGGTACTTCAGTGTAGGGTTAGCTTGCAGGCAGCCCCCAACCCTGTGCCCCAGCTAGCTACTCCACAGCATGTGAAGCCCCATTGGAACAGTCCTGGGCTGGCTGCTCCAGTGGGGCTCCATGTGCTGCAGAGCAGCTGGCTGAGACACAAGGTTGCTTCAATGGGGTGCTAGCCACACCCATGCACTGAAACACCCTTGTGCCTCACCCAGCCTCTCTGCAATATGTGGAGTATGTGGAGCCCCGTCGGAGCAGCTCTGGGCAATATGCTCCAGAGTTATTTCTCCTTGGTGCACATTCATGCAATACACTCAGGAGCAAAAAACTCCGGAGCAATAAGCTCCAGAGTTTATTCGTGCACATTGATCACATATATAGATGTGCCCAGCATGACATTAAAGAGTGGAACTCACTGCCACCAGATGTGGTGGAAGCTGACAGTTTAGGCACATTCAAAAAGTGGTTGGACAAATTCTTGGAGGAAAGGGGCATCAGTTGTTATTGAGCATGGGAGTTAGGGGGACAGCCTCTGAATTAGAACCTCCTAGACCTTAAAAGCTGGAGGCTGCAAGTGAAAAAGGAACAATGGGGAAAAGCCCTGCTCATACTCAGTTCACTCTCCCCTTCAACATCCACTCTTCTGCTACTGTGTGACACAGGAGACTGTGCAAGACGGACCTATGGTCTGACCCAGTAAATGGAAGTTCTTATGTTTTTATGTTCCGTCTTTCCATCTAGAACAGTGGTGCTCAACTTTCTGGCCCCTCAGGCTGAATGAACAGAGCTCAGTCCGTCAATGAGCCAGATCCTGTCAGTAAACCCAACCCAGCATTCAGGGTGGTGAGGTGGGGCCCCATCTGGCCGCATGTGGGGGAGGGAAAAGGGAGCATGGCCCGGCCCCAACCCAGGTGCATGGGGGACAAGAGGCATGGGTTGCCCCAATCCCCACCCAGCAATGCAGGGCAGAGAGGAGCGGTGACAGTATTTCTTGACACTGCTCCCATGCCACCAAATTTCCCAATCCATGGGGAGCCACGCAAGCCAGATGCCATGGCTCCATGGGCCAGGGGTTAAGCACCCCTGCTCTAGAACATCAGTTCAGACCACAGCTGAATTAACAAACATATCTTGTATCCAGGTGCTTATGGACAGCTGTTCAACAATGGCAAGATATGCAGCATGCAAAACTTCAATAGGCTTCATCTCTATTACCATACCATATCAAGAGGAGGAAAAGGCGACAGGAGAGCTCACAGCCCTTTCGGCTGCCAAAAAGATAGGTTGTATCGCGGCAGCTGCTTAGAACACCCACTGAGATTATTTTGGATGTCACAACATATGTAACAATACAGTGCAGCCTGCGGGCACGCTGTGTGAATGCCACGCAATGGCAGAACACAGCACTAGGGAAAAACAAAACTAAATTGCAAAGACATTAAGTACGCATGATAAGAAGTTTTCATACAGTCAGTCATGAGCAGGCAGCCAAAGATCAAAATCCAGAATGGCAATGTTTTTTCACAAGAAACAAAGGCAAGCAGGATTTTGTCGATGCCTGTTCTGCCTGAAACACCACAGATTGTGTAAAGCAGATCTGCAGCACAGAGAAGAGCTCTTCAGACTTCCTATGGAAGGCAGGAAGCTGTCGGATCCACGCCTCCATTCTTGCTTCTGAGGAGCTGTGTCCCACACAGGACCCAAATGTAGTGCACAGCTACATTTACCTTGATCCCCTGGGCTTTCCTGAGGGTTTCTCTACTTTAACACTAAGGTCCTCATAGAACTGTTATGACAGCGGGGGTTGCCAGACCCTCCAATATACCCCCATATTAGAAGAAAAGGGTTGGGCTAGATCTATAGGAACCCGCAGCTGCACATTTAGGTTGGCTTTTTCACCCCCTCTGCAGAGCTCCAGAGGTGTAAAGCTGGCTCTAGCATGGGTTAGAACATGATCCATCATCTTTAGCTGCCTATTAATAAGGCTGAAAGCATTCCTGAACCACAAAAATGAGCGTGCTGCTCCATTCTGAAAATGGCTATGGGAATGCATCACAGTGCTATTTATGTCAATCACATTATGCTTTCCCCAAACATCCTTAGCTGTCCAGTACTAACATGGGTTGTGTTCTTACATGTGTTTCAGGCAGGAAGAAATTCTTACTGAAATCTAGATGAAGAAATATTTTACTTTCAAAATGCACTAAAGCCTTAACCACACTGGCATTTGCAATACCATTTTTGAAACCATTTTTGAAACAGTTATAACATGATGTGCATCTGTTTCTACTGTACTGACAAACCATGAAATTGCCTTGTTAGAAAAGCCTTTCTAAAAGGGATGTTCCATAACCTGGTTTCCCCTAGTATGGCTAAGACACTGAAATCAAATGAACTACATCCTCTTAGAAAATGCTGCCAAGGACTCCATCAGAAATCTGAATGATTTATCTATGCAGTTGTAACTACCTGTAGTATAGATAGATCCCCATTCAGAGTTAAACAGTAGAAGCTCATCAGGCCCTACAACCAGAATCATGGACACGATACTCTTCTCCTAAAGGAGCCCATAGTATTGTCAATAACAGCAGTTCTCAAAGGGCTGTAATGGTACAAGCAAGGGAAGTTCACTAGGGCAAAGTAGATTCCACTGTGTTAGCCTGTACCTTTGATGGTTAACTTGTACTGCTAACAGCATTTGGCACCATAGGTAACAAAGAGCTTTTAACTCATCCATAAAAGAATGGATCTGGATGAATCTTTTTGCATTAGTGTATTACTTAAATAAATACAAAGTAGGCGACTTGACTAAAATCATTAACGTGAAAATCTAAAGAAAACGTTTTAGACTAGAAAATTCGCACAACAATCCAGGGCCCTTAGGTAAAGAATTATAGAGGTGGTAAAATACCAGATTAAGTATTAGAGAATGTAAACAAACCAACCAGATTATCACAAGTATAACCATGTCTCCAAAATGCTGCATCAGCTATTTATGCCACTGTATTGTACTTGTCAAGCTTAGTAAAGGTATGGATTAGGCTTTACACTGGAGCTTTGAAAAAATCTATATTTAGCTAAGCTAAGCAGCTGAGACTCTTGGGCACTAGTAACATCTCTATAGGAAAAAGTATGAAACCATACAAAGAGTGGGGTGAAGGACTGAGTGTGTGGAGGGTTTACTGGCTCATATGGCAAGAAAAATTATGTAACCAAAATAAAAAGGGAAAATGAGAATAAAAGCCAACAAACAGGCTTCATAGTCATAGTGACCCCATCAAAATAGGATTCTAGGGGAGTTATAACATGAGCTTTCTATCAGGGCCACCCACTGGTTCTGACTAGACCTAGCTTCTTCACCTGCAGCACAATGTCTGAATCTGGGTTGCCTATTTATATTCACTAAGGACCAATGTCTGCCTCCCCATTACATAGAGAAGAACTCGTCTCCAAAAGTAGCTCTACTAATGAGTAAGGGTGGCAGAGTGTGATGCTGCAAGTCCACTATTCTGACAGGTAGTACAAGGGGGAAACACCTTATCTTCCATGTGTTTCCACTGATGGGCAACAGGACTACTCATACTGGAAGATCGTAGTCCATATGAAAAAAGTGTTCACACATGCCCTCCCACTACAACGACACACAGACACTTCTGCTCCCTAAGACCTGGAAAGGCAATGATCAACTCTCTTACCAGAGCTGCTAATCAATAGCACTGATTTATTTCCTGACACCTGATTTTTACTATAAAGAACCCGATTGTGGAAATGAGAAACCCATGTAGTTTTCAAAACTTATGCACAATTAATACAGGCCCATGGATGTGTTCTTTGCATCATTTCCAATCTTATTTTTCTCTAGAATAATTCAAATTGTAAAAAGTTTCTCCAGCTAAAGTATTCCTAAAACGAGCCTGGACAGCACAAGTTGGCACCCTATGTGTAGCATCTGTTTATTTAATAAAAATTGCTCTTTCTGTCCCTCTCTACTTCATTTTCAGGGTAAACAGGTCATTACTTGAGTCAAATGTCAACAGAGGTGGGAATGGATGACGGCAAAAGTATAGGGTG